GCACCACCAACCTACTGTGTGAGGGCTCCACCAACCTACTGTATGAGGGCACCACCAACCTACTCTGTGAGGGCACCACCAACCTACTGTGTGAGGGCACCACCAACCTACTGTGTGAGGGCACCACCAACCTGTGTGAGGGCAGCACCAACCTACTGTGTGAGGGCAGCACCAACCTACTCTGTGAGGGCACCACCAACCTACTGTGTGAGGGCTCCACCAACCTACTGTGTGAGGGCACCACCAACCTACTGTGTGAGGGCACCACCAACCTACTGTGTGAGGGCACCACCAACCTACTGTGTGAGGGCACCACCAACCTGTGTGAGGGCAGCACCAACCTACTGTGTGAGGGCACCACCAACCTACTGTGTGAGGGCACCACCAACCTACTGTGTGAGGGCAGCACCAACCTACTGTGTGAGGGCACCACCAACCTACTGTGTGAGGGCTCCACCAACCTACTGTATGAAGGCACCACCAACCTACTGTGTGAGGGCACCACCAACCTACTGTGTGAGGGCACCACCAACCTGTGTGAGGGCAGCACCAACCTACTGTGTGAGGGCACCACCAACCTACTGTGTGAGGGCAGCACCAACCTACTGTGTGAGGGCAGCACCAACCTACTCTGTGAGGGCACCACCAACCTACTGTGTGAGGGCACCACCAACCTACTGTATGAGGGCACCACCAACCTGTGTGAGGGCAGCACCAACCTACTGTGTGAGGGCACCACCAACCTACTGTGTGAGGGCACCACCAACCTACTGTGAAGGCACCACCAACCTACTGTGTGAAGGCACCACCAACCTACTGTGTGAAGGCACCACCAACCTACTGTGTGAGGACACCACCAACCTACTCTACTGTGTGAGGGCACCACCAACCTACTCTACTGTGTGAGGGCACCACCAACCTACTGTGTGAGGACACCACCAACCTACTGTGAAGGCACCACCAACCTACTGTGTGAGGACACCACCAACCTACTCTACTGTGTGAGGGCACCACCAACCTACTCTACTGTGTGAGGGCACCACCAACCTACTGTGTGAGGACACCACCAACCTACTGTGAAGGCACCACCAACCTACTGTGTGAGGGCATCACCATCCTACTGTGTGAGGGCAGCACCAACCTACTGTGTGAGGGCTCCACCAACCTACTGTGTGAGGGCACCACCAACCTACTGTATGAGGGCACCACCAACCTACTCTGTGAGGGCACCACCAACCTACTGTGAAGGCTCCACCAACCTACTGTGTGAGGGCAGCACCAACCTACTGTGTGAGGGCAGCACCAACCTACTGTGTGAGGGCACCACCAACCTACTGTGAAGGCTCCACCAACCTACTGTGTGGGGGCAGCACCAACCTACTGTGTGAGGGCACCACCAACCTACTGTGTGAGGGCACCACCAACCTACTGTGAGGGCACCACCAACCTACTGTGAAGGCTCCACCAACCTACTGTGTGATGGCAGCACCAACCTACTGTGTGAGGGCACCACCAACCTACTGTGTGAGGGCAGCACCAACCTACTGTGAGGGCACCACCAACCTACTGTGAGGGCACCACCAACCTACTGTGTGAGGGCAGCACCAACCTACGGTGATGGCACCACCAACCTACTGTGAGGGCACCACCAACCTACTGTGAGGGCACCACCAACCTACTGTGTGAGGGCAGCACCAACCTACGGTGATGGCACCACCAACCTACTGTGAGGGCACCACCAACCTACTCTACTGTGTGAGGGCACCACCAACCTACTGTGAAGGCTCCACCAACCTACTGTGAGGGCACCACCAACCTACTGTGAGGGCACCACCAACCTACTCTGTGAGGGCTCCACCAACCTACGGTGATGGCACCACCAACCTACTGTGAGGGCACCACCAACCTACTGTGAGGGCACCACCAACCTACTGTGTGAGGGCACCACCAACCTACTGTGAGGGCACCACCAACCTACTGTGAGGGCACCACCAACCTACTGTGTGAGGGCACCACCAACCTACTGTGAGGGCACCACCAACCTACGGTGATGGCACCACCAACCTACTGTGAGGGCACCACCAACCTACTGTGTGAGGGCACCACCAACCTACTGTGAGGGCACCACCAACCTACTGTGTGATGTCACCACCAACCTACTGTGTGAGGGCACCATGAAGACAAGTGAGAGGACACAGTGTCAATTCTCCATCCTCTCCCCAACATAGAAGTTTTACGAAGAACATTTTTATTTTAATAGTTTCAATTTTAAAGACTCAAATATAATAAACGTTTTACTTGTCTATAATTACATATGCTTATCTGCTGACATAATCTACAACCAATTTTTCTTAATGACAAGCAAAATCTAATGACACGAGTTGAATCTACTTTGATGACATCTGCTACATTTTCTGTAATGACATGTGTAATATCTACTGTAATGACATGTGCTACATGTACTGTCTTGACATATGCAACACGGTAAGGGGGTGGGAGGGTAAGGGGTCGGAGGGGAAGGGTTTGGGGGTGGGGGATCGGGAAAGAAGGGTGGGGGTAGAGCGAGTAGGGGGGAGGGGGTTGGGCGTCGTAGGGGAAGGGGTCGGTAGGGGAAGGGGACGTCGGGAGGGTGTGGGGGTGGGGGGCGCCGGGAGGAGAAGGGTTCGGGGTGGGGGGCGCCGGGAGGAGAAGGGTTCGGGGGTGGGGGGCGCCGGGAGGGGCAGGGTTCGGGGGTGGGGGGCGCCGGGAGGGGCAGGGTTCGGGGGTGGGGGGCGCCGGGAGGGGCAGGGTTCGGGGGTGGGGGGCGCCGGGAGGGGCAGGGTTCGGGGGTGGGGGGCGCCGGGAGGGGCAGGGTTCGGGGGTGGGGGGCGCCGGGAGGGGCAGGGTTCGGGGGTGGGGGGCGCCGGGAGGGGCAGGGTTCGGGGGTGGGGGGCGCCGGGAGGGGCAGGGTTCGGGGGTGGGGGGCGCCGGGAGGGGCAGGGTTCGGGGGTGGGGGGCGCCGGGAGGGGCAGGGTTCGGGGGTGGGGGGCGCCGGGAGGGGCAGGGTTCGGGGGTGGGGGGCGCCGGGAGGGGCAGGGTTCGGGGGTGGGGGGCGCCGGGAGGGGCAGGGTTCGGGGGTGGGGGGCGCCGGGAGGGGCAGGGTTCGGGGGTGGGGGGCGCCGGGAGGGGCAGGGTTCGGGGGTGGGGGGGCGCCGGGAGGGGCAGGGTTCGGGGGTGGGGGGGGGGGCGCCGGGAGGGGCAGGGTTCGGGGGTGGGGGGGGGGGCGCCGGGAGGGGCAGGGTTCGGGGGTGGGGGGGGGGGGGCGCCGGGAGGGGCAGGGTTCGGGGGTGGGGGGGGGGGGGGGGCGCCGGGAGGGGCAGGGTTCGGGGGTGGGGGGCGCCGGGAGGGGCAGGGTTCGGGGGTGGGGGGCGCCGGGAGGGGCAGGGTTCGGGGGTGGGGGGCGCCGGGAGGGGCAGGGTTCGGGGGTGGGGGGCGCCGGGAGGGGCAGGGTTCGGGGGTGGGGGGCGCCGGGAGGGGCAGGGTTCGGGGGTGGGGGGCGCCGGGAGGGGCAGGGTTCGGGGGTGGGGGGCGCCGGGAGGGGCAGGGTTCGGGGGTGGGGGGCGCCGGGAGGGGCAGGGTTCGGGGGTGGGGGGCGCCGGGAGGGGCAGGGTTCGGGGGTGGGGGGCGCCGGGAGGGGCAGGGTTCGGGGGTGGGGGGCGCCGGGAGGGGCAGGGTTCGGGGGTGGGGGGCGCCGGGAGGGGCAGGGTTCGGGGGTGGGGGGCGCCGGGAGGGGCAGGGTTCGGGGGTGGGGGGCGCCGGGAGGGGCAGGGTTCGGGGGTGGGGGGCGCCGGGAGGGGCAGGGTTCGGGGGTGGGGGGCGCCGGGAGGGGCAGGGTTCGGGGGTGGGGGGCGCCGGGAGGGGCAGGGTTCGGGGGTGGGGGGAAGGGGGCGCCGGGAGGGGCAGGGTTCGGGGGTGGGGGGAAGGGGGCGCCGGGAGGGGCAGGGTTCGGGGGTGGGGGGAAGGGGGCGCCGGGAGGGGCAGGGTTCGGGGGTGGGGGGAAGGGGGCGCCGGGAGGGGCAGGGTTCGGGGGTGGGGGGAAGGGGGCGCCGGGAGGGGCAGGGTTCGGGGGTGGGGGGAAGGGGGCGCCGGGAGGGGCAGGGTTCGGGGGTGGGGGGAAGGGGGCGCCGGGAGGGGCAGGGTTCGGGGGTGGGGGGAAGGGGGCGCCGGGAGGGGCAGGGTTCGGGGGTGGGGGGAAGGGGGCGCCGGGAGGGGCAGGGTTCGGGGGTGGGGGGAAGGGGGCGCCGGGAGGGGCAGGGTTCGGGGGTGGGGGGAAGGGGGCGCCGGGAGGGGCAGGGTTCGGGGGTGGGGGGAAGGGGGCGCCGGGAGGGGCAGGGTTCGGGGGTGGGGGGAAGGGGGCGCCGGGAGGGGCAGGGTTCGGGGGTGGGGGGAAGGGGGCGCCGGGAGGGGCAGGGTTCGGGGGTGGGGGGAAGGGGGCGCCGGGAGGGGCAGGGTTCGGGGGTGGGGGGAAGGGGGCGCCGGGAGGGGCAGGGTTCGGGGGTGGGGGGAAGGGGGCGCCGGTAGGGGCAGGGTCGGGGGTGGGGGGAAGGGGGGCCGGGAGGGGGAGGGTTCGGGGGTGGGGGCGCCGGAGTGCATTCGGGAAGGGAGGGTTCGGGGTGGAGGAAAAGAGCAATGTGCAAAATATATACTTTAACCAGCTCTCCCTTCCCCCCACCCCGCCCCGAAAGTGTTTTATACAAACATTACAATAGATCTCCAAACACCTCTCTACTTCTACTAAATAGTATCAATTGTGTTTTTTTTATTGTGCACTATAGATCTGTCTCCAGACGTCTCTAAGCAACTGTATCGACCACATGTCTTTGAAAATCATATTTGTGCTGTGAAATTGATTGATTTACTCATGTCCGCTTGTTTAATTAATTATTTAACAGTTTTACAATCCCTTTAAAACAAAGGGAGACAATCGTGAGCATTGGATACGCAGTAAACAATAAATCAAAATGGCGGCAATGTAGCAGCCGCAACTTTGCTTCTAACAATTTCTAGTAAATGTTATATCTGTAAGAATATCTTTGTAAGGTTCAAACTAATGCAATGTAAACAATACATGGTTTGGTTTAATAATCGTAACGATGACGTGTAACTGGACAAAACTAGACTATTTCTCTCAGCTAATGAGTCGAGATCCACGTTCCTTTGCGGCGTTGGAAATGCTTGTTGACGATTTACATGCTGAAAAGGAACGTACTATATCAACATTTTTAAGTCATTCTGGCTTAGAGGATTTCTTATGGGGTTTAGTTCGACTGATAGGAAATGAAACGACTAGGTAAGTAGTACTGATCATCATGTAACGTGAAGTTCATAATATTATTATTATATTAAGTAATTTAGGCCTACATATTTTATTATTTAATTACTATTACTATTACATAACGTACCACATAAAATTATTAATTAATTACTTAAGTTAACTTAGCCTAATAAATAATAATTAGTAGAATCTAAAAATCTAAATGTTTAGATCTAGATCTAGATCTTGTATTTAGTAGCCTAATTACTAATTAGTAATGTCATTTGAATGTTCAACTACGACTGTTACATTGACTGTCCTAAGTCCTAAGTTATTAGGACCAGATCTAGTAAAAATATTGGGCCTATTAATAAAAAATAGTTTACTTTAATAATTTACTAAAGTCTAGAGGTCCATATATAGTTATAGTATAGGAGTATGCCTAATATAATTTATTTAAATAGGCCTAAAAAAATTATAAGTAGTAATATTAGGCTTATAACTAGATCTATATATATATATATATATATGCCTAGACTAAAAATAAATAAATAGTGTAATTATAATTTAAAAAATTTAGCCAGTTTACAGATTAACTTGATTAAAATAGGCTACATTGATTATGATTAAATTGGCCTTAATAAATAGTAGATGTCATGACATGAAAGCAAAAACTTTAAAGGAATTAATGACCAAAAGTTGAACAATAAATTAATCATAAAATCTCTAGAAAACCTGTTTTCCAGAGTTAAAACACTGTAGGTAGGCCTATGGCCTATACAGATTTCCAGCATGCATACAGTTTGATTAAAAAAATAGGCCTAGACTTATATGTTGTTTTTCTTTTTCTTCTTTGTTCGTATTTGTAATATTGGATAAGATTTCCTCCAACACAGTAAAGTATTACAAGGCAGTTGTTTTTGGAGTTTTCTATCCTAGATGGGTTGCTGTCTCAGGCTGCCCTTTTTGTGACTCTGGACTTTTTGGTTTAGCGATACTGGCCCAACCACACTGACTTCTATGTTCTTTTGAATCAAGAGGAAATGTTTTAAACAGTGATTTTGTTTGTTCTTTTTAAAAATAATGTAACCATTTGTAGCCAAAATAGTTAACTATGGACAAACTGTTATTTCAGGTTTATATGGATGTCCACATATTTCATTTTACATCATTATATTTGTATGTTACAACAAAATCTAATGGATTAGCTTATCTTAGTGCATTGGGTAATTTAATTTGGTACCTTTACTGTAAGAAAGGGATCAAAGAAACATAAAAGGGGTCATGATCCTGATGTAGTCTTATGGTTTATTTCAATGTTGTGTACAATGACAAAAAATTATACTTTTAAACTCGTACTTTTTAAATTGTACTCGGTTCTGGGCAATTCCTCTAAGTTGGACCCTCAGCTGTTTCTGCTTCACTGACAGCTGACCTTTTCCATGTTTGTTCTGACCCACCCACTTTCCTCTTTAATTAGGTATTCCAATCTAGTGCCTGTCTGGTGATGTTGCTTGTTGGTTTACACAGGATAATTTTAAGATGGTGTGGTTGGGTCGGTTAAGCTCTTGGTTGCTGAATCGTAAAGTCCTAAGTTCGAACCCCCGGGTAGATGAAGCTCAATAGCTGGGGACAGCCACTCCAAAATCAAACAACTGCTGTAGTTTGTTTTTAGTTAGACAAAGGCTATGGAAGCAAACCCAAAAAGAAAAGCAGGCTGAAATCTGAGTCAACAGCCTATATGGCGCACAATAAGTTGGCAGGCAATACATAATAGTGTTGGAAGGAATCCCTTCCAACACTAGAATTAAGAATGAAGAAAAAGAAATTAGAGGTTATTTTAAAACTTTCCATAAAAAAATCAACCAATGGCTATTACAGAATTGACACCATCATTCTATTTGTTTAACCCAAGTTTTAGCTCACATGATAAACGACTTTAGGGCCTACAAATAATTTATTATAATTTTCAATGTAATTAAAAGTTTAGAGTAAAAAATAAATGGTACAACCATAAATCATTAACAAAGACCACCACCCAAGTTTCCCAAGAGTTGAAGTTACTTAACTCCCCCTTAATACCTTCAGCTCTTGTGTTGTCCTATTTCAAACACAATTGTTCCTTCACATAGATTGAATAAACTTTAACACGTAATAGTGATCTTTATTTATTGCACAGTATTAAAGTACACAGTCAAGTGTTTCTTATCTTTTAAATTTAGCTCTGGAGGTCTGGTACATTAAATCCTATTTGAAGTTACAGGTAAATAAATGCCTGCTTGGTTATCACTATGGCTGTTATCAAAATTTCTTTCAATTATTTGAACAAAAGTCTTTATTTGATTTAATGGAGGTTTTACTTTAAATAGATTACTACTATTTGCAAGGATTAAATAAAGTATAATGTGACCACATTGGCACACTATTTCATGTTCATTGATGTTAATTTTTGTATGGCTTGCTGTCTGATAATGTGCAGAAGCTATTGTCTTACCTGATCAACAATATTTACCTTAAGCTTAAACTGTCACATTAAACATTCACTCCTACCCTGCCTGTCACATTAAACATTCACTCCTACCCTGCCTGTTACATTAAACATTCACTCCTACCCTGCCTGTTACATTAAACATTCACTCCTACCCTGCCTGTTAAACATTCACTCCTACACTGCCTGTTACATTAAACATTCACTCCTACCCTGCCTGTTACATTAAACATTCACTCCTACCCTGCCTGTTAAACATTCACTCCTACCCTGCCTGTTACATTAAACATTCACTCCTACCCTGCCTGTTACATTAAACATTCACTCCTACCCTGCCTGTTAAACATTCACTCCTACCCTGCCTGTTAAACATTCACTCCTACCCTGCCTGTTAAACATTCACTCCTACACTGCCTGTTACATTAAACATTCACTCCTACCCTGCCTGTTAAACATTCACTCCTACCCTGCCTGTTAAACATTCACTCCTACCCTGCCTGTTACATTAAACATTCACTCCTACCCTGCCTGTTAAACATTCACTCCTACCCTGCCTGTTTAACATTCACTCCTACCCTGCCTGTTAAACATTCACTCCTACCCTGCCTGTTACATTAAACATTCACTCCTACCCTGTCTGTCACATTAAACATTCACTCCTACCCTGCCTGTTACATTAAACATTCACTCCTACCCTGCCTGTTACATTAAACATTCACTCCTACCCTGCCTGTTAAACATTCACTCCTACCCTGTCTGTTACATTAAACATTCACTCCTACCCTGCCTGTTACATTAAACATTCACTCCTACCCTGCCTGTTACATTAAACATTCACTCCTACCCTGCCTGTTAAACATTCACTCCTACCCTGTCTGTTACATTAAACATTCACTCCTACCCTGCCTGTTACATTAAACATTCACTCCTACCCTGCCTGTTACATTAAACATTCACTCCTACCCTGCCTGTTAAACATTCACTCCTACCCTGTCTGTTACATTAAACATTCACTCCTACCCTGCCTGTTACATTAAACATTCACTCCTACCCTGCCTGTTACATTAAACATTCACTCCTACCCTGCCTGTTACATTAAACATTCACTACTACCCTGCCTGTTAAACATTCACTCCTACCCTGTCTGTTACATTAAACATTCACTCCTACCCTGCCTGTTACATTAAACATTCACTCCTACCCTGTCTGTTACATTAAACATTCACTCCTACCCTGTCTGTTACATTAAACATTCACTCCTACCCTGCCTGTTACATTAAACATTCACTCCTACCCTGCCTGTTACATTAAACATTCACTCCTACCCTGCCTGTTAAACATTCACTCCTACCCTGTCTGTTACATTAAACATTCACTCCTACCCTGCCTGTTACATTAAACATTCACTCCTACCCTGCCTGTTACATTAAACATTCACTCCTACCCTGCCTGTTAAACATTCACTCCTACCCTGTCTGTTACATTAAACATTCACTCCTACCCTGCCTGTTACATTAAACATTCACTCCTACCCTGCCTGTTACATTAAACATTCACTCCTACCCTGCCTGTTACATTAAACATTCACTACTACCCTGCCTGTTAAACATTCACTCCTACCCTGCCTGTTTAACATTCACTCCTACCCTGTCTGTTACATTAAACATTCACTCCTACCCTGCCTGTTACATTAAACATTCACTCCTACCCTGCCTGTTACATTAAACATTCACTACTACCCTGCCTGTTAAACATTCACTCCTACCCTGCCTGTTACATTAAACATTCACTCCTACCCTGTCTGTTAAACATTCACTCCTACCCTGTCTGTTACATTAAACATTCACTCCTACCCTGCCTGTTACATTAAACATTCACTCCTACCCTGTCTGTTACATTAAACATTCACTCCTACCCTGTCTGTTACATTAAACATTCACCCCTACCCTGTCTGTTACATTAAACATTCACTCCTACCCTGCCTGTTAAACATTCACTCCTACCCTGTCTGTTACATTAAACATTCACTCCTACCCTGTCTGTTACATTAAACATTCACTCCTACCCTGCCTGTTAAACATTCACTCCTACCCTGTCTGTTACATTAAACATTCACTCCTACCCTGCCTGTTAAACATTCACTCCTACCCTGTCTGTTACATTAAACATTCACTCCTACCCTGTCTGTTACATTAAACATTCACTCCTACCCTGCCTGTTAAACATTCACTCCTACCCTGTCTGTTACATTAAACATTCACTCCTACCCTGTCTGTTACATTAAACATTCACTACTACCCTGCCTGTTAAACATTCACTCCTACCCTGTCTGTTACATTAAACATTCACTCCTACCCTGCCTGTTACATTAAACATTCACTCCTACCCTGCCTGTTACATTAAACATTCACTCCTACCCTGCCTGTTAAACATTCACTCCTACCCTGCCTGTTAAACATTCACTCCTACCCTGCCTGTTAAACATTCACTCCTACCCTGTCTGTTACATTAAACATTCACTCCTACCCTGTCTGTTACATTAAACGTTCACACCCAACCCTACGGGTAACTTGACTGTTCTGTCTCATTAAACCCTGCATGCACATAGATAAATCATGTCACATAGAATGTTAACTGTTACCAAAAGACATGAACCCTTAATTTATCACAAACAACAATCTTTTTTTTCTTCTTATAACTTAATTCCTCGAGCTTTTGACTTTGTACTTGCAACGTCAGTCTTGGGTAGAAATTTGCGATCGAAATTTCGACAATCTCTAAATGACCGATTTCTTTTAAACATGACGATGCAATGTGACGTACAGTTTGACTTAATTAGAAGTTTAATTGTTTAATAAAATTAATAAAATATTGCTGTATAAAGTTGTAACTTTTCGCGCCACACTAGGCCCAATAAGATGATCTGCTGCTCTCTCACATTCAACACACAACACAGTTTACACAATGTGTACTTTTCATCGCATTTGTGTAAGCCAAAATAGATCTTTTATGTTGCCTAACTAGTCGCCATGCTCCATTAACCCTTTATAAACCAGGGTACAGTTTTTCTGACCTGGTTGCTTGTATTGAATTAATCGTTCACTGTGACAGGGGGAGGGAAGGCGAGAATGGCGGGATCTCCCCTAAGACGCCATACGTTCATGAAGTCAGTACAATGTTAATCGTCCTCACATTGACTCGTGTTAATGCCACACGGTGCACAGACAACCACAGCACTCCATTCAATGACCTTTTTTTTTTACTTGAGCCCAAACAAAGGCGGTATGTGCTGACGCACAAGATATAGTGTGACATGGACTCTATCTGATAGGTGCTCTATCTGACATGTACTCTATCTGACAGGTGTTCTATCTGACAGGTGTCCTATCTGACAGGTGTTCTATATCTGACAGGTGCTCTATCTGACAGGTGTACTATCTGACAGGTGTTCTATATCTGACAGGTGCTCTATCTGACAGGTGTCCTGTCTGACAGGTGTACTATCTGACATGTGTTCTATATCTGACAGGTGCTCTATCTGACAGGTGTTCTATCTGACAGGTGCTCTATCTGACAGGTGTTCTATCTGACAGGTGTCCTATCTGACAGGTGTTCTATATCTGACAGGTGCTATCTGACAGGTGTACTGTCTGACAGGTGTCCTATCTGACAGGTGTTCTATATCTGACAGGTGCTCTATCTGACAGGTGTACTATCTGACAGGTGTTCTATATCTGACAGGTGCTCTATCTGACAGGTGTCCTGTCTGACAGGTGTACTATCTGACAGGTGTTCTATATCTGACAGGTGCTCTATCTGACAGGTGTCCTGTCTGACAGGTGTACTATCTGACAGGTGTTCTATATCTGACAGGTGCTCTATCTGACAGGTGCTCTATCTGACAGGTGTTCTATCTGACAGGTGTCCTATCTGACAGGTGTTCTATCTGACAGGTGCTCTATCTGACAGGTGTTCTCTCTGACAGGTGCTCTATCTGACAGGTGTCCTATATCTGACAGGTGCTCTATCTGACAGGTGTTCTATATCTGACAGGTGCTCTATCTGACAGGTGTCCTATATCTGACAGGTGCTCTATCTGACAGGTGTTCTATATCTGACAGGTGCTCTATCTGACAGGTGTCCTATATCTGACAGGTGCTCTATCTGACAGGTGTTCTATATCTGACAGGTGCTCTATCTGACAGGTGTTCTATATCTGGCAGGTGCTCTATCTGGCAGGTGTCCTATCTGATAGGTGCTCTGGTTGACTCCGAGTTAGGCAACCAAAAACAAACTACAAGGCAGCAGTTGTTTGATTTTGGAGTTGTCTCTCCTGGGAGAGTTGCTGTCCCCATCTGTCGAGCCTCATCCGCCCGAACTCAAGACTTTTCGGTTTAGCAACAGTTAGCTTTTGCCACTCGACCACGCCGACCCCATCTGTTTTCAGTTAAATAAAAAGAAGCGACTTCATGTGGTTCTAGCAACTTTTTAAAAATCCTCACGTGATGTTGACACTACTTTCCCTTGAGAATTAAGAGATCGTTCAGTTACCATACAATAGTAAAATATATTGTTTACTCACCTTAACCTCACAACAGGTTATTTCATTAGACAAAACCTTACAATCTTACATGGCATTATAACATTTACACATATCACACTTTATACTTTGTGGCTGGCGATATAACATTTACACATATCACACTATATACTGGGTGGCTGGTGATATAACATTTACACATATCACACTTTATACTTTGTGGCTGGCGATATAACATGTACACATATCACACTATATACTGGGTGGCTGGCGATATAACATTTACACATATCACACTTTATACTTTGTGGCTGGCGATATAACATTTACACATATCACACTTTATACTTTGTGGCTGGCGATATAACATTTACACATAACACACTTTATACTGGGTGGCTGGCAATATAACATTTACACATATCACACTTTATACTGGGTGGCTGGCGATATATCATTTACACATAACACACTTAAAACTTTAATACTATCAATGAATAAAACAACCGATAATCTTTGAATTTTGATGAAATTATGTGTAGTAGCTGTCTTATTAACTATAAGCTATGATACAATGAGGGTCACTTTAAGCTGGCTCCCATTTCCACCAAGTTCAAATGTAGTGTTTTTTTCTGTAGGACCTACGATGTAGTGTTTGGTTTCTGTAGGACCTACCATGTAGTGTTTGGTTTCTGTAGGATCTACGATGTAGTGTTGTTTTAATTTCAGGGTAGCAGGCAACGCTGCTTATATTCTCGGCACATTGGCGGAGTCAGAAATCGGATGTTACCGCATTCTCTCCCTTGCCAAGAGAAACGAAGACAAACGCATCATCTTGAAGGACCTAACGCGGATGTTGACCTTTCATGACCCCGAGAGTGTGATGAATGCTGCCGGAACCCTGGGCACTTTAGTAAGTCACAAACATTCTGGGCGCTTTAGTAAGTCACAAACATTCTGGGCACTTTAGTAAGTCACAAACATTCTGGGCACTTTAGTAAGTCACAAACATTCTGGGCACTTTAGTAAGTCACAAACATTCTGGGCACTTTAGTAAGTCACAAACATTCTGGGCACTTTAGTAAGTCACAAACATTCTGGGCGCTTTAGTAAGTCACAAACATTCTGGGCACTTTAGTAAGTCACAAACATTCTGGGCACTTTCGTAAGTCACAAACATTCTGGGCACTTTAGTAAGTCACAAACATTCTGGGCACTTTAGTAAGTCACAAACATTCTGGGCACTTTAGTAAGTCACAAACATTCTGGGCACTTTAGTAAGTCACAAACATTCTGGGCACTTTAGTAAGTCACAAACATTCTGGGCACTTTAGTAAGTCACAAACATTCTGGGCACTTTAGTAAGTCACAAACATTCTGGGCACTTTAGTAAGTCACAAACATTCTGGGCACTTTTGTAAGTCACAAACATTCTGGGCACTTTAGTAAGTCACAAACATTCTGGGCACTTTAGTAAGTCACAAACATTCTGGGCACTTTAGTAAGTCACAAACATTCTGGGCACTTTAGTAAGTCACAAACATTCTGGGCACTTTAGTAAGTCACAAACATTCTGGGCACTTTAGTAAGTCACAAACATTCTGGGCACTTTAGTAAGTCACAAACATTCTGGGCACTTTAGTAAGTTAGAAACATTCTGGGCACTTTAGTAAGTCACAAACATTCTTGGCACTTTAGTAAGTCACAAACATTCTGGGCACTTTAGTAAGTCATAAACATTCTGGGCACTTTAGTAAGTCACAAACATTCTGGGCACTTTAGTAAGTCACAAACATTCTGGGCACTTTAGTAAGTTAGAAACATTCTGGGCACTTTAGTAAGTCACAAACATTCTGGGCACTTTAGTAAGTTAGAAACATTCTGGGCACTTTAGTAAGTCACAAACATTCTGGGCACTTTAGTAAGTCACAAACATTCTTGGCACTTTAGTAAGTCAGAAACATTCTGGGCACTTTAGTAAGTCACAAACATTCTGGGCACTTTTGTAAGTCAGAAACATTCTGGGCACTTTAGTAAGTCACAAACATTCTGGGCACTTTAGTAAGTCACAAACATTCTTGGCACTTTAGTAAGTCACAAACATTCTGGGCACTTTAGTAAGTCACAAACATTCTGGGCACTTTAGTAAGTCACAAACATTCTGGGCACTTTAGTAAGTTAGAAACATTCTGGGCCTTTTTGTAAGTCACAAACATTCTGGGCACTTTTGTAAGTCACAAACATTCTGGGCACTTTAGTAAGTCACAAACTTTCTTGGCACTTTAGTAAGTCAGAAACATTCTGGGCACTTTAGTAAGTCAGAAACATTCTGGGCACTTTAGTAATTCACAAACTTTCTGGGCACTTTAGTAAGTCACAAACATTCTGGGCACTTTAGTAAGTCACAAACATTCTGGGCACTTTAGTAAGTCACAAACTTTCTGGGCACTTTAGTAAGTCTGAAACATTCTGGGCACTTTAGTAAGTCACAAACATTCTGGGCATTTTAGTAAGTCACAAACATTCTGGGCACTTTAGTAAGTCACAAACATTCTGGGCACTTTAGTAAGTCACAAACATTCTGGGCACTTTTGTAAGTCACAAACATTCTGGGCACTTTAGTAAGTCACAAACATTCTGGGCACTTTAGTAAGTCACAAACATTCTGGGCACTTTAGTAAGTCACAAACATTCTGGGCACTTTAGTAAGTCACAAACATTCTGGGCACTTTAGTAAGTCACAAACATTCTGGGCACTTTAGTAAGTCACAAACATTCTGGGCACTTTAGTAAGTCACAAACTTTCTGGGCACTTTAGTAAGTCACAAACATTCTGGGCACTTTAGTAAGTCACAAACATTCTGGGCACTTTAGTAAGTCACAAACATTCTGGGCACTTTAGTAAGTCACAAACATTCTGGGCACTTTAGTAAGTCACAAACATTCTGGGCACTTTAGTAAGTCACAAACATTCTGGGCACTTTAGTAAGTCACAAACATTCTGGGCACTTTAGTAAGTCACAAACATTCTGGGCACTTTAGTAAGTCACAAACATTCTGGGCACTTTAGTAAGTCACAAACATTCTGGGCACTTTAGTAAGTCACAAACATTCTGGGCACTTTAGTAAGTCACAAACTTTCTGGGCACTTTAGTAAGTCACAAACATTCTGGGCACTTTAGTAAGTCACAAACATTCTGGGCACTTTAGTAAGTCACAAACATTCTGGGCACTTTCGTAAGTCACAAACATTCTGGGCACTTTAGTAAGTCACAAACATTCTGGGCACTTTAGTAAGTCACAAACATTCTGGGCACTTTAGTAAGTCACAAACATTCTGGGCACTTTAGTAAGTCACAAACATTCTGGGCACTTTAGTAAGTCACAAACATTCTGGGCACTTTAGTAAGTCACAAACATTCTGGGCACTTTAGTAAGTCACAAACATTCTGGGCACTTTAGTAAGTCACAAACATTCTGGGCACTTTAGTAAGTCACAAACATTCTGGGCACTTTAGTAAGTCACAAACTTTCTGGGCACTTTTGTAAGTCAGAAACATTCTGGGCACTTTAGTAAGTCACAAACATTCTGGGCACTTTAGTAAGTCAGAAACATTCTGGGCACTTTAGTAAGTCACAAACATTCTTGGCACTTTAGTAAGTCACAAACATTCTGGGTACTTTAGTAAGTCATAAACATTCTGGGCACTTTAGTAAGTCACAAACATTCTGGGCACTTTAGTAAGTCACAAACATTCTGGGCACTTTAGTAAGTCACAAACATTCTGGGCACTTTAGTAAGTCACAAACATTCTGGGCACTTTAGTAAGTCACAAACATTCTGGGCACTTTAGTAAGTCACAAACATTCTGGGCACTTTAGTAAGTCACAAACATTCTGGGCACTTTAGTAAGTCACAAACATTCTGGGCACTTTAGTAAGTCACAAACATTCTGGGCACTTTAGTAAGTCACAAACATTCTGGGCACTTTAGTAAGTCACAAACATTCTGGGCACTTTAGTAAGTCACAAACATTCTGGGCACTTTAGTAAGTCACAAACATTCTGGGCACTTTAGTAAGTCACAAACATTCTGGGCACTTTAGTAAGTCACAAACATTCTGGGCACTTTAGTAAGTCACAAACATTCTGGGCACTTTAGTAAGTCACAAACATTCTGGGCACTTTAGTAAGTCACAAACATTCTGGGCACTTTAGTAAGTCACAAACATTCTTGGCACTTTAGTAAGTCACAAACATTCTGGGTACTTTAGTAAGTCATAAACATTCTGGGCACTTTAGTAAGTCACAAACATTCTGGGCACTTTAGTAAGTCACAAACATTCTGGGCACTTTAGTAAGTTAGAAACATTCTGGGCACTTTAGTAAGTTAGAAACATTCTGGGCACTTTAGTAAGTCACAAACATTCTGGGCACTTTAGTAAGTCACAAACATTCTGGGCACTTTAGTAAGTCACAAACATTCTGGGCACTTTAGTAAGTCACAAACATTCTGGGCACTTTAGTAAGTCACAAACATTCTGGGCACTTTAGTAAGTCACAAACATTCTGGGCACTTTAGTAAGTCACAAACATTCTGGGCACTTTAGTAAGTCACAAACATTCTGGGCACTTTAGTAAGTTAGAAACATTCTGGGCACTTTAGTAAGTCACAAACATTCTTGGCACTTTAGTAAGTCACAAACATTCTGGGCACTTTAGTAAGTCATAAACATTCTGGGCACTTTAGTAAGTCACAAACATTCTGGGCACTTTAGTAAGTCACAAACATTCTGGGCACTTTAGTAAGTTAGAAACATTCTGGGCACTTTAGTAAGTCACAAACATTCTGGGCACTTTAGTAAGTTAGAAACATTCTGGGCACTTTAGTAAGTCACAAACATTCTTGGCACTTTAGTAAGTCACAAACATTCTGGGTACTTTAGTAAGTCATAAACATTCTGGGCACTTTAGTAAGTCACAAACATTCTGGGCACTTTAGTAAGTCACAAACATTCTGGGCACTTTAGTAAGTTAGAAACATTCTGGGCACTTTAGTAAGTTAGAAACATTCTGGGCACTTTAGTAAGTAACAAACATTCTGGGCACTTTAGTAAGTCACAAACATTCTGGGCACTTTAGTAAGTCACAAACATTCTGGGCACTTTAGTAAGTCACAAACATTCTGGGCACTTTAGTAAGTCACAAACATTCTGGGCACTTTAGTAAGTCACAAACATTCTGGGCACTTTAGTAAGTCACAAACATTCTGGGCACTTTAGTAAGTTAGAAACATTCTGGGCACTTTAGTAAGTCACAAACATTCTGGGCACTTTAGTAAGTCACAAACATTCTGGGCACTTTAGTAAGTTAGAAACATTCTGGGCACTTTTGTAAGTCACAAACATTCTGGGCACTTTTGTAAGTCACAAACATTCTGGGCACTTTAGTAAGTCACAAACTTTCTTGGCACTTTAGTAAGTCAGAAACATTCTGGGCACTTTAGTAAGTCAGAAACATTCTGGGCACTTTAGTAAGTCACAAACATTCTGGGCACTTTAGTAAGTTAGAAACATTCTGGGCACTTTAGTAAGTCACAAACATTCTTGGCACTTTAGTAAGTCACAAACATTCTGGGCACTTTAGTAAGTCATAAACATTCTGGGCACTTTAGTAAGTCACAAACATTCTGGGCACTTTAGTAAGTCACAAACATTCTGGGCACTTTAGTAAGTTAGAAACATTCTGGGCACTTTAGTAAGTCACAAACATTCTGGGCACTTTAGTAAGTTAGAAACATTCTGGGCACTTTAGTAAGTCACAAACATTCTGGGCACTTTAGTAAGTTAGAAACATTCTGGGCACTTTAGTAAGTCACAAACATTCTTGGCACTTTAGTAAGTCACAAACATTCTGGGCACTTTAGTAAGTCACAAACATTCTGGGCACTTTAGTAAGTCACAAACATTCTGGGCACTTTAGTAAGTTAGAAACATTCTGGGCCTTTTTGTAAGTCACAAACATTCTGGGCACTTTTGTAAGTCACAAACATTCTGGGCACTTTAGTAAGTCACAAACTTTCTTGGCACTTTAGTAAGTCAGAAACATTCTGGGCACTTTAGTAAGTCAGAAACATTCTGGGCACTTTAGTAATTCACAAACTTTCTGGGCACTTTAGTAAGTCACAAACATTCTGGGCACTTTAGTAAGTCACAAACATTCTGGGCACTTTAGTAAGTCACAAACTTTCTGGGCACTTTAGTAAGTCTGAAACATTCTGGGCACTTTAGTAAGTCACAAACATTCTGGGCATTTTAGTAAGTCACAAACATTCTGGGCACTTTAGTAAGTCACAAACATTCTGGGCACTTTAGTAAGTCACAAACATTCTGGGCACTTTTGTAAGTCACAAACATTCTGGGCACTTTAGTAAGTCACAAACATTCTGGGCACTTTAGTAAGTCACAAACATTCTGGGCACTTTAGTAAGTCACAAACATTCTGGGCACTTTAGTAAGTCACAAACATTCTGGGCACTTTAGTAAGTCACAAACATTCTGGGCACTTTTGTAAGTCACAAACATTCTGGGTACTTTAGTAAGTCAGAAACTTTCTTTTAGGCATCTCTCCGGGAGTTCACCCCCTCCCCTGGAAAATCAAGTATTCTTGAAAACTATTTCATATACAAACTATATACATCAGCCAGCTATCCGCCCCACCCCCTGGTGATAAGTGCCTCCCAGGGCCGGATTTAGTCTTGATAACCCTAAGTTATTTTCAGATAAAGGCCCCTTTATAATTCCATATATACGAATCTGAATATCAGATGCAAACATTTGCATTAAAAAAATATGTTTTCCGACAAAAGTGTGTATTTATAAAGGTAGTGTAAAGAGAATTCGGCTTCCATATTGGGTTGAGAAAGAAAATTATAAATAGCCTAATTTTTTTTTTTTAAATATGACAAAATGCCCACCACTGTTTACAAAGAAACTTTCGGGGCATCCCCTTCCATAAAAGCTTTGTAGGTATGTACCCAATCCCTCATTGCCACACATTGTTACAAAAGTTACAAAACGTAAGAACCTCCTTCAAATTACGTCACTCTTTAGCTGACCACACCCAGTGTTTCTTCCAGACTTTTTTCTCGGGGGGGGGGGGGGGGGGGCACTTGAAATTTTCGGGGGGGGCGGGACACTGTTAAAAGTATATATTTTCTATAAAAATTATATAAATTTCATTTCATTCTGGAAGAAACTCTGACCGCACCCCTCGTTTTGTTTCCTTTTCGTGAGGGGAAATAAACAATGTTGATTTTGCACAAATATTAACTAAGTAGTTTAAAGTTTAAAGTCGTTTAAAGAAAAATTGTCTTACACAAATTGTTGTTACACCCAAAAAGCTCCAACTTAGGGGAGATAAACAACTGTTGTCTTTTGTAACAGGCTGAGAGTGTTGCAGGGAGGGAATGGATGCTGTCAGATCCTTCAGTAGACGACATGCTTAATCACGTGACTATGTTGCTTAGTGCAGACAACTTGTGGACAGCTAGTAATGCAGCATTGGTACTTGCACGGTTAGTTCCCTTTATTGTGGGTTATTTTTAAATTCGAAAATTATTAAAATAATTTCCCATTTTTTAATTGTTTCCCATTTTTTGAATAATTTTCAATTTTAAATTGTTGCAATAGTTTTCCATTTAAAAATAGTTAGTGTTATTTTAGATATTAAAACTGTTATTTTTATTTTAAAATTTTCATATTACATTCACATTTTAAAATTGTAAGAATAGTTTCCCTTTTAAAATGTAAAATTTTAATAATGGTTGAAAATACCAAGCTTTCAACATTTCACTGTTTGTGTAAATAGTATTCCCACAATTTTATCTTTTTTTTAAGGAACAATAGCCAGCTTTTTACTTGTGCCTGTATTAATTACAATTTAATTTGACCAGAGCTCCATATTTTCTCCACAGATTATGTATATCAGAGAAGGGCTGCCAGAGTATTTTAAAACATACAAACTCCAAGACCATTCTCACCCGCCTCATCTCTGCTCTTGGAGTCGATGAAGCTGGTACATTTTTACAGTCATGTCTTACAGTCATGTCATACAGTCATGTCTTACAGTCATGTCTTACAGTCATGTCTTACAGTCATGTCTTACAGTCATGTCTTACAGTCATGTCTTGAAGTCATGTCGTACAGTCATGTCTTACAGTCATGTCTTACAGTCATGTCTTACAGTAATTTCTTACAGTCATGTCTTACAGTCGTTTCTTTGTATATATAAGCCCTACTGTTAGGCTGAATCAATTTGCAAAAATGGGGCACTCGTTAAAAAATATATTTTCTATATTAAGTATATATTTTTTCTATTATGTCCAGGGGGGGGGGGGGGAAGGGTGCTGGTGTATGTGCTGTAGGGGAGGCTGTGCTCAATACTTAAACATTGTATACCTATCTCCCATTGAGAACCACTAAATTAAAGCTGATTGTAATAAATCACAGGACAAAACCAAAGATACATATCTAAAGATACATATCTAAAGATACATATCTATCAACTGTAACATTATCAGTGTGCTATTTTACTACCAATCACTTTAAAGATTGAGGGGAGGCTGGCTTTTACTTACATTTCTGCTGATTTATGAATTTATTTTTAAAACACCAGCTGCTTATACTAAAGGGGAGTTAACTGTCTGTAAGTGATTAAGTAGGAACTCTTCATGTTATAGAACCCATTTTATTTAGTCCACCATTTAACATTTTTTTCTAGATTATTTCTTATGTTTGATTGTAGTTTAGACAAGAACTTTATGCTGGTTAAAACTGTAGTTACCCAATTTGTTATTTCAAACTACTGGTAATTTTTTTTTTATCAAACATGGTTGTAAGTATCAACAGTTACTGTACTTGAGTTATGTTATTTGATAGACACCTAAAGACCTCAAAACTTTGTCATTTGATTGAGAAAACTGACAATTTGTTGAAGTTTATCTCATGCAAGTGAAAAATACTAAAGGAATTTATTCTTAGAATATTTCTTACCTAGAAAACCTTACATGTTTTGTCTGCTTTAGGTAGAAATATTAGACTTCTGTTGTTTTTCCAATTTAGCAAAATATTTTTAGTTCAGCCTAGTTTATGTATGATAAAACTAATGTAAAAACATTTATTTTACCAGAACTATAGTGGACTTGTAATAAAGCTGTGATTTTATTTAACTAATTTACATAAATATTCAAATTTCCCAGGTCGCGGCATGAATGCTGCCTTTGCTATTGGTCGCCTGTGTGACATGGACTCTGGGAGACAGAGGTTGTTGGCAATGCCGGACTGTGAGAAAATGGTGGGTAAACAGGGAGATCATTGGTGACATAGTGAAGACATTTTCATTTTCAAAATTTTAGTTTTCAGAATATGTATGATATAATTTTATTTACTACTTATTAGTTTCATACCCCCTGTCTTAAAATTGCATTTCAGCTACACTTAGATTTCTTTGATACTGACTATGTTTTGCCTGTATTTAGATTCCCTCCATACTGACCTTGAGTTTTGCCTATATTTAGATTTCCTCATTGGCAAAAATGCTCAGCTGCACAGATACAGGGGCAAGTAAAAATGCTTGTTTTGCCTTAAGTTGCCTAGCAACCAACTTGGATGGCCATGGTCGCCTGCTAAACAATTTTCACTGTGAAACTGTTGTCAAGACACTGTCTCAGCTGCTGAGTACAGAAGATGATGAGACAGGCTGGTTTGCTGCCATGTAAGTCCATCTTACCTTTTATTTGATTGGCTGAATAAGTCCAAGTTACATTTTATTTCATTGGCTGAATAAGTGTATGTAACTGCATCATGAAGTGTTTTTTGTTAGTGAAAGACCGCTGTTTGTGCCTCTTTTGTTATGAAAATCTAGACCTCTGAGTCAAGACATTTTAATATTTTTTTTTACATAAAGCATTTTAATATCTCTAAAAAGGTTACTATCCTGACCTTTTATAGCAAATAAAATGTTCTTATTTTTTAAAACCTACTTTTGTGACATTTCAGAAATATATAAATTATACCATTACTAGCCGTCCCGGCCAGGCCCTGCTCTGGCTTCTGTGAAAAACCTTTCCGTTAAAGACCATTACCTGTGTGTTTAGTAATCATCATAAACCCGGCATTGCCCACCCAAACCACAACCAACCAAAACAACAAAACGCAAACATAACGCTAACACAATTAGAAATACAAACGAAAACAAAAACCTAACAACAAACCCAACCACAACCACAAACACCAATACAAACACAAAGAAAAAACAAACGAAAACAAAAACCTAACAACAAACCCAACCACAAACACCAATACCAAAAAAAAACAACGAAAAAGCAAACGAAAACAAACCAAATCCAAACGCAAAACCAACCAAAAACACAAATACAAACCCAAACAAAAAAAAACACAAACAAAAACGAAAAAAGAAAGAACAAAAACGAACCAAATCAAAACGCAACCACTAACGCAAACCCACCTAAACACAAAGAAAACACTAACGCGAACATAAACGCCCGGGGCAGAATCGCCTGTTTTAGCTTAATAAACGACTATAGTACCCCAACTTATTCATAGTTTTTGCACTCACTTAAACGAACGCGCCTGTTTCAATTTAATGAACAATTATAATACTCCAAGCTTATCCGTAAAATACCTAAAACATTTGCACTTGATCAATCCCCGCTAATTATGTAATTATTTTTTTCCCAACACCAAAACAAAGTAATTAAAAAGTAAATGCTTTTCAACTAATGCAATGTTTTCATAAAGGGAAGTAATTGTGTTTTGCCTAATTTATCAAAGGGAAGTAAGCGCTATAGGACTAAATAAAAACATAATTAGAATTTTTGTAAAAGATGATATTTTTTTAAAACTTGTGTTTAATGAACATGCCGACAATTATTACTATAATTTGAAAAATGAAAATGATTTCCCAACACTTTTAATAGTAATTTTTTAACTCATAAATTTAGACAAACGCGCACGATAATTGATCTCACACTTAAATCCGTAGAAATGCCAACGACAAACATATGCGTTACAGAATTGAGCTTTATATATTAGATTTAAAAAATGCTTTTCCTTCTATCTAAATCATGTTTAAAACACTTGTCTGTACATGTAAATTATTTGTACATACTAATGAACAGGACATTAAGAACTTTGGCAAGCCAGCCCAAAGGCTGTCTAAAGCTGAGAGAATTTCCCCAAGTACTAATGGCTTTAAAGGTATTCGTTATTGGTTGATTCTCTAAATTTCTAACTAGTAAATATTTTATTTTTTAGTAAGAAAATTAACATGTTTCATAAGTGTTCCTGTCTACATTGTTAGAAAATAGATCAACTGAAGAATGTGAACTCAGATCTTAAAGATGAAGTGATTTTAACCTTAGAAATACTCAAACATTTAGAGAGACCAGAGGCGCCATCTATAACAGGTAAAAAACAAATCAATGTTATCATGACTTTGTACTTGAACAAAGCTGGTTACAGATGTGAAATATTTTCTGTGTTCAACTCATTTCAGTCCTCGGCCCTACTCAGTGTGATGCCGTCTGGACGCCAGTGGAGACCAAAAGTGGATTTGATGTCCAGTATCAGCTGTATGAAGGTGCCAGCTGGTCATTGATGGCTGTGGTCCTCAGCTGTTGTATTTCTGTTGTTTGTTTATCATCATTAGTTTACAGACATGCTACCATGTTAAATGAATCATGCATGTGATTTAGGTACAGATGTGTGTACAGTATGTTCCTACAGCTGACTAGTTGATTGAATCCCCAGGAAACACCTGCTGCTACACTGGTCCTGCCTGCCAGTTTGAAGTTCAGTCTCTCACTCCCAACACAACATACCACTTTAAAGTAAGGGCTACAACTCAAGTTGATATCAGTGAATTCAGTGATGTCACTAAAGTCACAACAGATGAGGACTGTAAGTGTTTCCATAAAATCATCACATTTAGCACTCTTATAGATACTAAGTATTTATTTTATAAGACCACAAATTTGGGAACATTTATCGCTTTAATATTAATATCTTAGCCTTTTTGACATATAGTGACTACTTTTTAAAATAAAAAAAATTAATCCATACAAATTTAGCAAAACCAAGTCAAAATTACATTGATCAATTTAATTTTGCAAAACTGTCTTTATAAAATGCAAATAATGTGTACTAATAAGATTAAGAGTTAAAGACCTTTTGAATGAGTTTACATAAAATTAACTGATAGTTACTTCCCCTTAGTTCCAGAAGCTCCACAGAACGTGAGAGTGATTGGAGTCACAGCCACACAGTTAAAGATCTGCTGGGAATCTCCTGAAAAATTCAATGGAACTTCTAAAGGATATTATGTGTATCAGGGTAGGTCACAAGCAACTGCAGATACACATTTCTTTTTGAGAAAAAAATGGTGTAGTGGATAAAATGTTACATTTATGTATCATTATTTCTGTAGTTATGTTCTTTATATGTTTTGTATTATGTTAAAAGTCTATATTCCTAATTAACTCAATAAAACCATTTAATTAGCAAGTACAATTTGTTAACCTTTAAGGGCTAATTTGTTTATTTTTTAAATTTCTTGTGAAAATATTCCAAATATATTTTAAAAGCATTGCTTAAATTAAATTTGATCATTTTTGTTGTATAAATTATCATGTTAAAATTTCCCAAATTAATTAATTTCTACATGAAACAAATAACTATCCCATCAGGTAAGAACATGCTGGAGCACACGTCAGAACTATCTGCTATCATCTCAGGACTAACAGCAAACACGACCTATGAACTACAGGTACACAGTCACATTCAACTTGTTTTTTGTGCACATTTGTCATGGAGTTTTAAGATTTGAAGATTTACACCTATAAATATAATGGTGAAATTACCCACAGGTCTGTGCTGCCACCTATAATGTTGATATCACCCATAGGTGCTGCCACCTATAATGTTGATATCACCCAAAAGTGCTGCCACCTATAATTTTGATATCACCCATAAGTGCTGCCACCTATAATGTTGATATCACCCATAAGTGCTGCCACCTATAATGTTGATATCACCCATAAGTGCTGCCACCTATAATTTTGATATCACCCATAAGTGCTGCCACCTATAATGTTGATATCACCAATAAGTGATATCACCCATAAGTGCTGCCACCTATAATGTTAATATCACCCATAAGTGCTGCCACCTATAATGTTGATTTACCCATAAGTGCTGCCACCTATAATTTTGATATCACCCATAAGTGCTGCCACCTATAATGTTGATATCACCAATAAGTGATATCACCCATAAGTGCTGCCACCTATAATGTTAATATCACCCATAAGTGCTGCCACCTATAATGTTGATTTACCCATAAGTGCTGCCACCTATAATTTTGATATCACCCATAAGTGCTGCCACCTATAATGTTGATATCACCAATAAGTGATATCACCCATAAGTGCTGCCACCTATAATGTTAATATCACCCATAAGTGCTGCCACCTATAATGTTGATTTACCCATAAGTGCTGCCACCTATAATTTTGATATCACCCATAAGTGCTGCCACCTATAATGTTGATATCACCAATAAGTGCTGCTACCTATAATGTTGATATCACCCATAAGTGCTGCCACCTATAATGTTGATACCACCCTCAGGTATGTGCTGCCACCTACAGAGGGAAAGGACCAAAGAGCTCCTGCTTGGGTACAACAGCTGAGCTTGGAGCTCATGCACCAAGTAAGCCCACTGTGCAGGTCCTTGGCAGGAATGAGATGCATGTGTCATGGGAGGCTCCTGTCATGCCACTGGGTCGCATTAACCACTACGATGTCAGCATGAATGGCAAGGTCATTTATTCAGGTAAGGGAGAGAAGAGAATTTCTACTCTCTCTTTATGAATGTAATGTGGCTCTAGCGTTTGGTCACCCATCCCATACTGTCCTTGAGATGTTTTTCTGATCAAAGTTTTCATTGAGAATCAAGATCATGATAACTCTTGAGCAGCCAGCCTGTCTTTATGTAATGTGGTTTTCTAAACAGCTAACTTCATATTATTTTCTTGTGTTGTACCAGGCACAGAACTAAGCTGTGGATCTCATAGACTGACACCTGACACTGAGTACACATTTACTGTCATAGCTGTCACTAATGAGGGCAGGTTTGAGAGTAAACCAACCAAGAAAAAGACAGCCAAAGATGAATGTGAGTCTTGGTATAACTGATGTATATTTTTAAAATATTGAAATAACAATGTAAAAATGGCTGGGTGACATGGACTGATATAGTGACTGCATTTACATTGAGATTTATAAATCATTGTGGGATTTGTTAAACAATGATATTTTTTTTGTAATGAATATATATATATATATATATATATATATATGTATGTATGTATATATATATATATGCATATATATGTATGTATATAAATGAATAAAATATAAATCTCAGTTGAGCCTGTCCGCACTCCTCTATATCAACCTCCAAAAAAAGAAGAAGAACCCCCCAAACCCAAGTTACAAAAGAAGAGGAAAACAGTTGTGGAGCCTAAAGTCCATAGTACAAAGGTGAGTACCAAAGATTGATTCGCTTATGGTTTTCCTTGTGCTAAATATAATTCTGAATATCTGATAGCAGTGTTTAGAAATTATTTTTCTTTCTGTTGTAGATCAGTCATGCTATGTGTCATCCCCAACGTCCAGTTTCAGGTACAATTTTTCAAGTATTTTTATGTTAGAAAGTTTAGTTTAAGCCATATGAATTGAAATCTAAAAACTTGGACACAACAAGCAGCCAATAAAATTTAGTTCAACAGTTCTGTAAAGTTATATCTGTTTCTTCCCTTTATTTACCAGCTGGATGTTTCTTAAACAAAGCAGATAAAACCAAAGAGGAAAAACCTATACAGGTACATTTCTATTATATATATATATATATATATATATTATTGTCATGTTAATTAATTATGTCTTTAACTTGATCAATTATAAGTGAAATAAATAAATAGTAAGTTGTAAAAACTGTTAGAAGGATTTAATTATGATGAAAAATTTGAGAAAGTGATGCTAACTTGATCTTGTGGACATTGATCTTCTGCTGCTGTCTCTAACTCCACCTGACTAGACTAGCAATAACGCAAACACTGACTAGACTAGCAATAACGCAAACACTGACTAGACTAGCAATAACCCAAACACTGACTAGACTAGCAATAACCCAAACACTGACTAGACTAGCAATAACCCAAACACTGACTAGACTAGCAATAACCCAAACACTAGACTAGCAATAACCCAAACACTAGACTAGCAATAACCCAAACACTGACTAGACTAGCAATAACCCAAACACTGACTAGACTAGCAATAACCCAAACACTGACTAGCAATAACCCAAACACTAGACTAGCCATAACCCAAACACTGACTAGCAATAACCCAAACACTGACTAGACTAGCAATAACCCAAACACTGACTAGACTAGCAATAACCCAAACACTGACTAGACTAGCAATAACCCAAACACTAGACTAGCAATAACCCAAACACTAGACTAGCAATAACCCAAACACTGACTAGACTAGCAATAACCCAAACACTAGACTAGACTAGCAATAACCCAAACACTAGACTAGCAATAACCCAAACACTGACTAGACTAGCAATAACCCAAACACTGACTAGACTAGCAATAACCCAAACACTGACTAGACTAGCAATAACCCAAACACTGACTAGCAATAACCCAAACACTAGACTAGCCATAACCCAAACACTGACTAGCAATAACCCAAACACTGACTAGACTAGCAATAACCCAAACACTGACTAGACTAGCAATAACCCAAACACTGACTAGACTAGCAATAACCCAAACACTGACTAGCAATAACCCAAACACTAGACTAGCCATAACCCAAACACTGACTAGCAATAACCCAAACACTGACTAGACTAGCAATAACCCAAACACTGACTAGACTAGCAATAACCCAAACACTGACTAGACTAGCAATAACCCAAACACTGACTAGACTAGCAATAACCCAAACACTGACTAGACTAGCAATAACCCAAACACTGACTAGACTAGCAATAACCCAAACACTAGCTATCCTATATATAAAATACATGTTCTAGTTTTATGCTATTTATAAAATACATGTTCTAGTTTTATCCTATATATCAAATACATGTTCCAGTTCACTAGAAGTAATTAGATCTAATGTAGAGATGAATACAAAAAATATATTTTGATAAAAATAGCAAATGAGTTGCTACACCAAAATCAAACTTTTCTGCCTGTATACAGAAATCAGATCAGAAACTTGTGAACACGAAGCAAGAAAACAACCGCCCCCGAACTCACAAGGATGTGACCAGATCTCACAAGGCTCCCTCACCAGTAACTATCAGCTACATCTCCATACAGGGAGACAACTTTGATTCTGTTCCATCAGCTCAGTCACAGTTTCCCAACAGACGGTTCACACGGTCGCCAAACTTTCACACTAAATCTAACCAGACATTTCGCTTTGAGCGATCCAAAACCACTCTCATTCCAAGCAGATCTTTGCCAACTAAACAGATCAAAAATGGAAAACTGAGTTCAAACAGTTACATAGACCTATCTCAGTATCAAAGTTTAGAGGCTGACCCTGATATATCTAATGGCTTATACGAGCATCTGTCAGCCGCAAAGATGAGTGGTGAGGTGAACATGAGATCCACATGGAGTCCCCAGGTTTCTGTGGTGGATGCCAGCCGGAGGTACAGCGAAGCATCCGACTCTCCTGTCATGAGTAGATCAGCTCAACAGCTGGATATTTCCTCTAATGGTGATGTGGACTCTGACACTTCCTCAACTAAATGGAAAAGGTGAGCAGTAGGCTACGACTTTTTCTTCTGCATTCTTAATTTTAGTGTATACTACTGAGTGGTGCATTCTGGGAAAGGTAAACTTGGCTTATTCAAAAATTTATAGTCACTTTACGAGTACAATGATGTTTACTTTTATTATATCCAGTTAATAGGTAAATCTTTTCCCACATTAACTTGAACTTAGCAATTTGGTTTATTCAATTTTATCCAAATGTGTATCTGTAATGAAGAGTTATCCCCCATTAAAGGAGTGACAGCAACACATTGTTCTACACACGTGCTTGCACACCTCAAGACTCCCAGTTTCTGATGGAACAAAATTCTTTCATGCAGAGGGCGAACACTTTCACCAGAAGCCACAGGTAGGCGGCTGACACTTTATTATTGCCAGCAACCATTAACATTTTGTAGTCATGACATTTAGAGAATAATTGTTTCGTTCCAAGTTTTTTATATTGTTATAGAAAAAGGCGGTGTAGGTTGAGTTTTATTTAGAGATACCATGAAATTGGGTGGTGTGTGTTATAGAAACTGTCATTTTAAAAGTCAAATACCAGGGTTCAAGTTTTGACAACATATTTTCTATTGATATTTTTTAAAATGTCTATTTCTTAAGTAGAGTTCCCTCAATTTTCCTACTTTAAACAATGTTAACTAAAACTGGTGTCCAGTAATAATGTGAGAAATATTGTTTACTTTGTTTATCTATGTAATTGTTTCTTTTAATTTTTTATTAAAGCTGTTCAAAACAGTTGTCTCTTCATGCCAGTGAGGTACTATTGACACATTTATTGGATCTCTATTTTTAGATTGTTGATCATCATGATGGTTCACACAGCACTGCAGCTTTTTTATATTTTGTTTTATTTCAACAGAGGCGTAGCCACCCATTTTGGTGCCCGGGGTGAACTATCAATGTTGCTCACACCCCCCCCCCCCCCATTCACACTTTGTAATTTACATACGCAAAAAAATCCCCCCCCCCCTCCACCCCAATTCAGGAAATCAGTCTTTACAGCCAAGTAGCAGTCAAATTTCTTAGTTTTGACTGTGCTTAATTCATTAAAAGAGCTTTTTATTTTATTTATACCCTGTTTAGCAATCCCCTTGGGTGGTCACCTCACCCACCCTTCCCTAGCTACGCCTCTGAATTTCATTAGTTTTTCACTCAAATATGCCATCACAGACATTTCAAGTAGTTTTTTACTCAAATGAACTATCACAGACATTTCAATTAGTTTTTTACTCAAATGAACTATCACAGACATTTCAATTAGTTTTTTACTCAAATGAACTATCACAGACATTTCAATTAGTTTTTTACTCAAATGAACTATCACAGACATTTCAATTAGTTTTTTACTCAAATAAACTATCACAAACATTGCAATTAGTCTTTCATTCAAATAAACAATCACAGACATTTCAGTTAGTCTTTCACTCACATAAACCATGACAGACAATATATCATTTCTGCTGTCAATATGTAGACATGTATCTTCTAGGCCAAGTAGTCTGTTTAACCAAATAGCCACTAATCTAACATTATAGTCTAGAGATTTGATTGGTTCACTCATTGCTTCCATCACAGTATCTTTAAAGTAGAGAGTTTTCTTTAATGTTATTAACATCTGTTATAAGTCAGCAAAGTAACAAGAAAGTTATTTTAATTTACTTGATTTTTGCTATCATTATTAATAATAGTAATAAATATTGGAAATTTAAAGAACTTGTCATTTTATGAATAGTTTAAAAATTATTTATGTTTGGGTATGGTCAACACTATCTAGACTTCTTGCTAACATATTTGGATGTCTTGTTAAAATATACAAAGACTGGTTGCAAATACAAAAATACAACCCATTGACAGTCTATAGGCTACATTAAATTCTACAATAAATTCAATGCTAAATTGTACACTAAATTGTATACTAAATTCAACACTTAATTCTACACTAAATTCTACACTAAACTGTACTCTGAATTCTACACTAAATTCTATGCCAAACTCTACACTAAACTCTACACTGCATCTAAAATAATCCACTTTTTGTGTTAGTTTAAGAAATGTGTTCAGACTTCAAACAAAATTAGATCTAGACAGGGTTTAAGTTGGGTAAAAAAACATCAATGCGCAAAATTGAAAATTAATTTGATGTTGGCTTATTCTTTGATCCATTCAATCAATAACTTGATTATTTTCATATTTTAGAAGTTCATCATAGTATTAACTAGTCTTTCTGTGTTAAATAAACCACCAGTAATGAAATATGACCAGAGAAAATTAAATTTGTTTTGTTCCAAATGTCTACTCACCTCTGCAGTAGTGTATAGATTTATTTTCTGCTGTCCCATCTATCTAAAACACTTAATTTAGTGGGTCTGCTACAGCCATAGGGTGTTAGAATTTTATTTACTTGAAGGGAGAACTGTCACACGATTTTTCTAAAAATAACATTCTATCAAAGTTGTAGCAACTGTAGCTTGTTTCCCCTCTAGGCCTGGGCAAACAAAAATTGATGTGAGCTCCATGCCTTTAAGTCTGCTGGAACCATCCACTTTGGCTCTACAAAGGTTAAGGTCAGTCTCTCAGAGCACATCCAATGGAAATTCACCATTGAGAAACCTACAGAACAACTCAACAAGCATGCCATTACAGAGGATGAAGACTTCAATCTCACAACCTAACTTAGGTTTGTTGAATCTCTTATAAGATTTTAAAAGCCAACTGGATAATCTCTTTGTTTATTTCTCTTACAACTTGCTCTCATTCTTCTTTAAGTATAATTCAAGTATTCCATGAGATATTTTGTACTGAGATCATTTGTCCAGTCACCAATTTAAGTTCATTAAATATTGAACAGGTTTACCTAGTCACAAGCTTGGCAGTTTGTTACGCAGTCAAACTCAGGTCAATCTACAAACAAGACCTTAAACCTATCAGCCAAACTCAAGTCAATCTACAAACAAGACCATAAACCTATCAGGCAGTCAAGTCAATCTACAAACAAGACCTTAAACCTATCAGGCAGTCAAGCCAATCTACAAACAAGACCTTAAACTTATCAGGCAGTCGTTAATCTACAAACAAGACCTTAAACCTATCAGGCAGTCAAGTCAATCTACAAACAAGACCTTAAACCTATCAGGGAGTCATCAATCTACAAACAAGACCTTAAACCTATCAGCCAAACTCAAGTCAATCTACAAACAAGACCTTAAACCTATCAGGCAGTCAAACTCAAGTCAATCTACAAACAAGACCTTAAACCTATCAGGGAGTCGTCAATCTACAAACAAGACCTTAAACCTATCAGCCAAACTCAAGTCAATCTACAAACAAGACCTTAAACCTATCAGGCAGTCAAACTCAAGTCAATCTACAAACAAGACCTTAAACCTATCAGCCAAACTCAAGTCAATCTACAAACAAGACCTTAAACCTATTAGCCAAACTCAAGTCAATCTACAAACAAGACCTTAAACCTATCAGGGAGTCATCAATCTACAAACAAGACCTTAAACCTATCAGGCAGTCAAGTCAATCTACAAACAAGACCTTAAACCTATCAGGCAGTCAAGTCAATCTACAAACAAGACCTTAAACCTATCAGGGAGTCATCAATCTACAAACAAGACCTTAAACCTATCAGCCAAACTCAAGTCAATCTACAAACAAGACCTTAAACCTATCAGGCAGTCAAACTCAAGTCAATCTACAAACAAGACCTTAAACCTATCAGGGAGTCGTCAATCTACAAACAAGACCTTAAACCTATCAGCCAAACTCAAGTCAATCTACAAACAAGACCTTAAACCTATCAGGCAGTCAAACTCAAGTCAATCTACAAACAAGACCTTAAACCTATTAGCCAAACTCAAGTCAATCTACAAACAAGACCTTAAACCTATCAGGGAGTCGTCAATCTACAAACAAGACCTTAAACCTATCAGCCAAACTCAAGTCAATCTACAAACAAGACCTTAAACCTATCAGGCAGTCAAACTCAAGTCAATCTACAAACAAGACCTTAAACCTATCAGCCAAACTCAAGTCAATCTACAAACAAGACCTTAAACCTATTAGCCAAACTCAAGTCAATCTACAAACAAGACCTTAAACCTATCAGGGAGTCATCAATCTACAAACAAGACCTTAAACCTATCAGGCAGTCAAGTCAATCTACAAACAAGACCTTAAACCTATCAGGCAGTCAAGTCAATCTACAAACAAGACCTTAAACCTATCAGGGAGTCATCAATCTACAAACAAGACCTTAAACCTATCAGCCAAACTCAAGTCAATCTACAAACAAGACCTTAAACCTATCAGGCAGTCAAACTCAAGTCAATCTACAAACAAGACCTTAAACCTATCAGGGAGTCGTCAATCTACAAACAAGACCTTAAACCTATCAGCCAAACTCAAGTCAATCTACAAACAAGACCTTAAACCTATCAGGCAGTCAAACTCAAGTCAATCTACAAACAAGACCTTAAACCTATTAGCCAAACTCAAGTCAATCTACAAACAAGACCTTAAACCTATCAGGGAGTCATCAATCTACAAACAAGACCTTAAACCTATCAGGCAGTCAAGTCAATCTACAAACAAGACCTTAAACCTATCAGGCAGTCAAGTCAATCTACAAACAAGACCTTAAACCTATCAGGGAGTCATCAATCTACAAACAAGACCTTAAACCTATCAGGCAGTCAAGTCAATCTACAAACAAGACCTTAAACCTATCACCCAAACTCAAGTCAATCTACAAACAAGACCTTAAACCTATCAGCCAAACTCAAGTCAATCTACAAACAAGACCTTAAACCTATCAGGCAGTCAAGTCAATCTACAAACAAGACCTTAAACCTATCAGCCAAACTCAAGTCAATCTACAAACAAGACCTTAAACCTATCAGGGAGTCATCAATCTACAAACAAGACCTTAAACCTATCAGGCAGTCAAGTCAATCTACAAACAAGACCTTAAACCTATCAGGCAGTCAAGTCAATCTACAAACAAGACCTTAAACCTATCAGGGAGTCATCAATCTACAAACAAGACCTTAAACCTATCAGGCAGTCAAGTCAATCTACAAACAAGACCTTAAACCTATCACCCAAACTCAAGTCAATCCACAAACAAGACCTTAAACCTATCAGGCAGTCAAACTCAAGTCAATCTACAAACAAGACCATAAACCTATCAGGCAGTCGTCAATCTACAAACAAGACCATAAACCTATCAGGGAGTCAAGTCAATCTACAAACAAGACCTTAAACCTATCAGGCAGTCGTCAATCTACAAACAAGACCATAAACCTATCAGGGAGTCAAGTCAATCTACAAACAAGACCTTAAACCTATCAGGCAGTCGTCAATCTACAAACAAGACCATAAACCTATCAGGGAGTCAAGTCAATCTACAAACAAGACCTTAAACCTATCAGGCAAACTCAAGTCAATCTACAAACAAGACCTTAAACCTATCAGCCAAACTCAAGTCAATCTACAAACAAGACCTTAAACCTATCAGCCAAACTCAAGTCAATCTACAAACAAGACCTTAAACCTATCAGCCAAACTCAAGTCAATCTACAAACAAGACCTTAAACCTATCAGGCAGTCAAGTCAATCTACAAACAAGACCTTAAACCTATCAGCCAAACTCAAGTCAATCTACAAACAAGACCTTAAACCTATCAGGGAGTCATCAATCTACAAACAAGACCTTAAACCTATCAGGCAGTCAAGTCAACCTACAAACAAGACCTAAAGAGTTGGTTGGCCTTTCCAGCAAATCTAAAGAAATCAGACTTAACTGACTCCTGCCTAACATGAAGATTGTATGCCTTACTTAAATGCAAGTTACACATGTTTTTTAAATCAAAGTTCAATTTTAGGGAGTTTCCACTTTTTTTTTCTATATAAAATATGCACAGCTTTGTTGAAAATTGTTTAGCATTGGATCAATAGTTCTGCAGGTAATGATAGTTTTAATGTTATTCCAAATTTGATGCAGAGAATTTTGGAATAGTTTGCAATTTGGAATCTTTATGCAATGTATATTGGTTTTCTACTGTTAAAACATAATTTAAATACTTTTACTTAATTTTAAAAACATCTAATGCATATAATATGTGCACATAAAAAATTATTAGAAATAGCTCAAATCCTAAATTAACTATTATATTTGAGACAAGAAGTGAGTCATTCTGCCACGGAGGTTCATGATTTTCACATTTCCATTTATATAGAATAGGGTTATAAGTGGGTTTCTTTCATTATGTGTGATGCTTTTTGTTGAGGTTTTGTTTTATTGCTGGATTTTTAACGTTTTTGTTTTTTTTGCCTGTTTATAATGTTGTTTTCTTCATTCCTGTATATAATGCTGTTTTCTTTATTTGTCTTGGATAAAGTTTTCATATGGATTAGTAACCAACCTTTCTTCACATTTTCACAATCTTAAACAGGTCATAAAATCTTGCAGTGTAGATTATTTGAATCATTTAAATTATGTTTCAATTATTTTTTCCAGCTTTATGTTATATTTATGGCATTTGTTATTTTATTGTATATGTTTAAGTTGGAAAAGTTTTTAATGTCCCTTTCTGTTCATTTCAAAAAAATTTTGGTCAAAATTAAGTCAGGTTTCAAGTGTTGAAATTTAAGAATTTCAATTTAATCTCCCATATTATTCATATCTAGTCATGTTAGATTCTATGAAAAAATTTAGGGTAGGCCCTATCTGTTTTAGGGATAGAATATTAGAACCAGTAAGAGCTCTTAAATTCCAAAAATATGGCTGAGAATAAACTTTAGGTGTATACATCTTGTACAAATTGTAAAATCAATATTTGGTGATTTTGTTTGGATGTATTGTTGTAAAGTGATGAGAGATCAATGTTTGTAATTATCCTCCACTCACTTTAAATTGCTCCTAAACTCTGAGTTACAGTCAATATTATTATCTTTTAGTTTTCTACTGCCAATAGTACATTGTAGGCCTATAGTTAGAGGCCCTACTGCATTATCTGCCCCATGTTAATTTTCTTTTTCTGGAAGAGTTGTCTAACATTACCATATGAGTTGTCTGTTTTTACTGTATTTAAGGCCCAGTAACAGAACTTTGAATAAAATTTAACCTTGTTTCAAAATAATTTTACATTTCTGGGTCTTTTCTGCATTAATCTGTCAATAAAAGCTTAAAATTTTAATTTTTTTTTACCAATTTACTTGTTTTAAAATCTTGAAGGATATAAATTAGTTTTTAATAGTAAGCAAATAGCCTTCCAACTGGCTGCCACATAATATTAATATCTATAATTAGTCAACAGTGTGAAAATGTACACTTGTAATAAAAGTTTGTATCTGCTAACAAAACTTTCATCTACAGCTTTTATAATGTCCAAATCTTTACCATCCAAATCTTTGTCTACATTTTTAATGTAAAAATTTTCAAATTTTTAATGCCCAAATCTTTACCATCTAAATCTTTTATGTTTACATTTTTAATGTGAAAATGTTCAAATTTTTAATGCCCAAAGTTTTACTATCCAAATCTTTAATGTCCAAATTTTTAATATAAATCTGGTTTCACTAGATAGTGTAAAATGTTATAGTCCACAATTTTAAATTGAATGCACCATTATGTATTTTATGAACCAATGCTTGTACATTTATTGAATTTATTAAACAAAATGCAATTTTCTCACTTTTGACAATGTAAATAATAAGTTAAAAACAATGAGGCTTTATTAATAGACAAAAAAGTTGTTAGGGTTTAAATACAATGGATAAATCAACTTTAAATTATGTTGGTAATGCTGATATCAGCCTAAAAATCAAGGGTAAATGTTGGGATTAAATAGGATAGTTAATTCAGTTTAAAATCTAGGTTAATTGGGTTTAAATAAAATGGTGAATTCAGCCTTAAAATCTGCATCCTCAGGGTTATATGGGTACCACATGGGGTAGTTGGTGTTCCAGATGTTGTTGTAGAGGTTGAAGGAGATGTTGGTGATGCTGGAGCAGGGGAAGGGCTGGAGGGGGACGGGGAAAGGTGAATCGATGTGGTCAGTTGTCCCAATCAGGACCAAAGGCACATCTTGACTGTACAGCTGAAGGCCTTTATAGTTCTCATCTACCAGGTACACACTTGTAGAGATACCTGCGGACCAAAGGTAAAACGGGTAGGCTTATCTATCATTCGATACTTTCAATTTACATTGCAAGCTGACCCTAAAGTTAACTTAGAACTAAAGGAGTGATCCATAAATGACATCGCGCCTTTTTGACGAATTTTACCTCCCCCTCTCCTCCGTCACACATCGTCACAAAGAGCCAGACCCCCTCCCCATAAATGACGTCACAACTCAGCCTACAACCCCCCCCCCCCCCCCCCCTCAAAATTGCAGTTGAATTTTTCTTAAAATACGATATATTTCTAAAATCTTGTCAGAACTCTGTCAACATAGAGTATTTTGATCAATTCCTATTTCAATTTATTAAAACAGTTTTCTAAAACGCGAAATAACGGCGGAAACTCGTTGTCTAACAGTGCTTTTTTATAATGCAAAAGTGTGACATCACACCATTTGAACCCCCCCCCCCCCCACTCCCCTTCATCACACACCGTCACAAAATTACGGACCCCCCCCCCTACGAGTGTGACGCCATTTATGGACGACCCCTAAAACTGACGTCATGACTTGAGCAACCGGCCAGAGCAGCACGGGCAACTCACCATGAACATATTGGCTGCCGTTGAGCACTACGTCACACGGGTCAATGATCTGGTAGAGCTTCTCCAGGTACCACTTCTGACCTTTGGACTGAGGAGAGAATCCAAAGGAGATCGACTCTGGGAGTCTGGTGGTCGTTTTACCCAGCATCAGCAGCGTCACGTTAACCCCTGAATGACCAACAGAAAAATATGCACTGGAATTGTATTATAAAACACACAAAAATCGTCTAGTGGAAAAATATTTTTGGGCTTTTGCCATTATCATATTTTATATCGAAAAAAATGACGTATTGTGAGGATTAAAATTATAAGACAGTTTGAAAATTCCCTTTCGTAGGTAGAACTTAATTAGAATTTGTTAGCCTTCCTTAAAAATATCCTTAAATATTTATTAATACCTACTTTGTTTGTGAAACTCATTAATATTGGTTAGCTATCAGTACAATATAAGCCTAAATATCTAACTATTCTATAGGTTTTGATTAAAATTTGTTATAGCCATTATTGAAAAATATGCTTACACTGCATTAAGGAGTCGGAGACATACTGGACATAGAAAACTCTAGGGGCGCCATATTTTGTCCTTGTCTGCTCGTCTTTTGTTGTTGCTTTAACCCAAAAGTCGCAGCTGGAGATGTTGAGTCCGACTGGTTGAACAAAAGTAAACATGAGTAATGTTGAGGCCGACTGGTTTAACAAAAGTGAACATGAGAAGAAATGTTGAGGCCGACTGGTTGAACAAAAGTGAACATGGGAAATGTTGAGGCCGACTGGTTTAACAAAAGTGAACATGGGAAATGTTGAGGCCGACTGGTTTAACAAAATTGAACATGGGAAATGTTGAGGCCGACTGGTTTAACAAAAGTGAACATGGGAAATGTTGAGGCCGACTGGTTTAACAAAAGTGAACATGGGAAATGTTGAGGCCGACTGGTTTAACAAAAGTGAACATGGGAAATGTTGAGGCCGACTGGTTTAACAAAAGTGAACATGGGAAATGTTGAGGCCGACTGGTTTAACAAAAGTGAACATGGGAAATGTTGAGGCCGACTGGTTTAACAAAAGTGAACATGAGAAATGTTGAGGCCGACTGGTTTAACAAAAGTGAACATGGGAAATGTTGAGGCCGACTGGTTTAACAAAAGTGAACATGGGAAATGTTGAGGCCGACTGGTTTAACAAAAGTGAACATGAGAAATGTTTAGTGAACTACGCTCGCCGCATCTACTCTCATCACCAGAGCTGGTAGATTTTAAGAGTCCTAAAGGTCAATGACCTTAAATTAATACATTCAGGTTTCATCCTTTACATAAAGGATGAATAATTTCTTACTTTTAAGTCGGTGAGTGCAGTTATAACGTTGTAACTACGTATATAAAAATAGAACCTACTATTTTTATACAAGTTGAGCACAGTGACCTCCCATCTTCTCTTCTCAGGGTGAGCGTTTTGTGTCATGTTTGGCTTATCGTAGCCCACCCCCGACACGTAGTTGTACTGTTTGGCCATGTCGATAAAATCTTGCTCGACGTACGTGTCGTAGATCAGCTGACCCAGGCGAGAGGTAGGTGAGGCCCACTCTTGCTGTAGGGCAGTAGAGTGGGGGAGTTATCAAACATACTCTTCATATGTTTGTGAGTTATTAAACATACTCTATTATTTAAAGTGGTATTCATTTAATTATAAACTGTCGGCCATGAAGCAGCTACCAATAGTTTACCTGGTTGACTGGGTCGTAGAGCCGAGAGATGGAGCCGTCACTGGCAAACTTGATGATGACGCCGTTGTTACAGTAGTAGTCCGTGTCGACCTGAGCTTCAGAGTACCCTGGGGGGGGGGGGGGGGAGAGACATACAGCAAGGCGAAGTCAAGCAGTTATGTAGGCTAATTGATGTTATCTACCACTACATTTGGACAATCTGCAAGTCACCCTCTTCTGAATTTGAGGCCACCATTCCTTGTAGTGGATGCTTTAGTGCCACCCTCCTCCTCCCTCAGCCAAATTAATTTTTAAAATATTGATTACTCCCTACCTGTAAGGTCAACCTCCCTCCCTACCTGTAAGGTCAACCTCCTTCTACCTGTAAGGTCAGGCTCCCTCCCTACCTGTAAGGTCGACCTCCCCCTACCTGTAAAGTCAACCTCCCCCTACCTGTAAGGTGAGGCTCCCTCCCTACCTATAAGGTCAACCTCCATCCCTATCTGTAAGGTCAGGATACCTACCTGTAAGGTCAACCTCCCCCTACCTGTAAGGTCAACCTCCCCCTACCTGTAAGGTCAACCTCCCCCTACCTGTAAGGTCAACCTCCCCCTACCTGTAAGGTCAACCTCCCCCTACCTGTAAGGTCAACCTCCCTCCCTACCTGTAAGGTCAACCTCCCTCCCTACCTGTAAGGTCAACCTCCCTCCCTACCTGTAAGGTCAACCTCCCTCCCTACCTGTAAGGTCAACCTCCCTCCCTACCTGTAAGGTCAACCTCCCTCCCTACCTGTAAGGTCAACCTCCCTCCCTACCTGTAAGGTCAACCTCCCTCCCTACCTGTAAGGTCAACCTCCCTCCCTACCTGTAAGGTCAACCTCCCTCCCTACCTGTAAGGTCAACCTCCCTCCAGTGGCGGAACTAGAAATCAAGGGCTCCCCCGCAAAGAAAAATCTAGGGCCCCCTATATATATATATATATATATATATATATATATATATATATATATATATATATATATATATGATCTATATCCTGAGTAATTTAGTTTACTTCATTGCAATATATAACCATTCTGAGAGAACAAAACAGAAAAAAATTTAGTCCAAACTCAATGTAAGTCAGAATGAGCGTCTTAAACATGCTGATCAAAAATATATAAAGACGTTAGTTTGATTCGTGAATAAGGTTTCTCGCGTTATGTTTATTTTTTTCATTTTTGGCTTTTATAATATCAATTTTGAAAACATTGATTTTTATAGCTATACTGTTGTATAGTATGTCTTATTTAAGTAACAATTCAGAGAATCAATTGCTTTTTAATATACATAGTACAAAACTATTTAAATGAGCTTCGTGGGCATCCCTATTTTAAAGAAGGGCAGTACGTCATGGAAGTAGTGTGAATGTTTACCTACCTTTCAAACTATAGCTCTTGTAGATTTTAAAATATTTTTCTACGCAACAATCTCTGCTATAGTAGACCTGTTTTTTTTTTTTTTTTTACAAAACCACTTTCAAGATGCATGAAAACATAATTTTTGAAAAAAAAATGCATTGTTTTTTGGTCGGAACTGAGCCCCTAAACGTCCTGGCCCCCCCCCCCCCCCGCATTGCGGGGTCTGGCGGTATGGTAGTTCCGCCCCTGCCTCCCTCCCTACCTGTAAGGTCAACCTCCCTCCCTACCTGTAAGGTCAACCTCCCTCCCTACCTGTAAGGTCAACCTCCCCCTACCTGTAAGGTCAGGCTCCCTCCCTACCTGTAAGGTCAGCCTCCCTCCCTACCTGTAAGGTCAACCTCCCCCTACCTGTAAGGTCAGGCTCCCTAGCCACCAGATAGTCGAACTCCTGCTCTACTTGTTGCCTCAGTGGATGGTCGCCTAGAGCGTCAAGGGCAAGGTCAATGAACTGTCGCTGCTCTCTCCAGGTGTCTTCGTTTGTCTTGTACGGCTGGGCTAGAGACAGGCAATAATCAACTTTATGGCTGGGCTAGACACAGGCAATAATCAACTTTATGGTTGGGCTAGAGACGGGCAATAATCAACTTTATGGTTGGGCTAGAGACAAACAATAATGAACTTTATGGATGGGCTAGAGACAGGCAATAATCAACTTTATGGCTGGGCTAGAGACAGGCAATAATCAACTTTTTAGGTCGGGTGTCATAAATTTACTTTGTCTAGCAGCCTCTATAAAACTTACTTTGTCTAGCAGCCTCTATAAAACTTACTTTGTCTAGCAGCCTCTATAAAACTTACTTTGTTTAGCAGCCTCTATAAAACTTACTTTGTCTAGCAGCCTCTATAAAACTTACTTTGTCTAGCAGCCTCTATAAAACTTACTTTGTCTAGCAGCCTCTATAAAACTTACTTTGTCTAGCAGCCTCTATAAAACTTACTTTGTCTAGCAGCCTCTATAAAACTTACTTTGTTTAGCAGCCTCTATAAAACTTACTTTGTCTAGCAGCCTCTATAAAACTTACTTTGTTTAGCAGCCTCTATAAAACTTACTTTGTCTAGCAGCCTCTATAAAACTTACTTTGTTTAGCAGCCTCTATAAAACTTACTTTGTTTAGCAGCCTCTATAAAACTTACTTTGTTTAGCAGCCTCTATAAAACTTACTTTGTTTAGCAGCCTCTATAAAACTTACTTTGTCTAGCAGCCTTTATAAAACTTACTTTGTCTAGCAGCCTCCAAAGCCTCGTTGCTCCAGGCTATGTAGTCTATGACGCCATGGGAACCCCAGGTGTGTTCAGGTAATTTGACCAGGAACCTCGCCATGTTGATAACTCGAGGGTCGTTAGCGCACTCACCTGCACGATCATCAAACACGTCACAACATGCAGCAAGTCATGACAAAATCAAAGCAAACCTACCCACATACAGGTTTATGTTGGTTTAAGTAAACAGAGAGAAATGACGTACTCGAGTCAAGTAAACAGAGGAATGACGTACTCGAGTCAAGTAAACAGAGGAGTGACGTACTTGAGTCAAGTAAACAGAGGAGTGACGTACTTGAGTCAAGTAAACAGAGGAATGACGTACTTGAGTCAAGTAAACAGAGGAATGACGTACTTGAGTCAAGTAAATAGAGGAATGACGTACTTGAGTCAAGTAAACAGAGGAATGACGTACTTGAGTCAAGTAAACAGAGGAATGACGTACTTGAGTCAAGTAAATAGAGGAATGACGTACTTGAGTCAAGTAAACAGTAATGACGTACTTGACTCAAGTTAACAGTAATGACGTACTTGACTCAAGTTAACAGTAATGACGTACCTGATTCCTGACAGCTCTGCCAGACTCTCACAAAGGCGCGGTACTGAGAATATTTCTTGGGGTCACTTGTGATGCCCTGTATCCAGGTGTCGCCGATCTCGAACGTTCTCACGGGCAGCGTTTGTTTGATGGTCTCCAGAACCTCCACGTAGTTGTCGAACGTTGAGGCTACGAGTTGAGCCCCCGGGAACTCAGAGCGTAAGATCTCGTAGTAGCCCAGGACTTCCTGGAGTATTGTCGTCAAGAATAACGTCGTGAACTTGGTGTGCTACATGTGCTTGTGTGTGTGTGTGTGTGCTTGTGTGTGTGTGTGTGCTTTTGTGTGTGTGTGTGAGGACTTCCTGGAGTGTTGGCGTCAAGATTAACGTCGTGAACTTGGTGTGCTACATGTGCTTGTGTGTGTGTGTGCTTGTGTGTGTGTGTGTGTGTGTGAGGACTTCCTGGAGTATTGGCGTCAAGATTAATGTCGTGAACTTGGTGTGCTACATGTGCTTGTGTGTGTGTACTTGTGTGTGTGTGTGTGCTTTTGTGTGCTTTTGTGTGTGTGTGTGAGGACTTCCTGGAGTATTGGCGTCAAGATTAATGTCGTGAACTTGGTGTGCTACATGTGCTTGTGTGTGTGTGTGTGTGTGTGTGCTTGTGTGTGTGTGTGTGTGTGTGTGAGTGTGTGCTTGTGATTTTAAATTGGTGTGTACGTGCTGGTGTAAGTTTTGAGTATCGAAGAAAGTTTTGGAATAAAAAAAATTGTAGAAAATGTGAAGACCAGGGCATAGTGTACCTGGATCTGTAGCGGCGGTCCAGTGTTGTCAGTTCTAAAGGCGAAACACAAGACCTCATCTAGACCATCAGCCACGATACATTTGTCTCTGGCCAGACCCCCGGGGTGGGCGGGGTCAGGCCCTGGGTTCAGTGGGTAGCCACCTAGCGCAAGGTTTAAGATTAGACTTTAACATTGATTATCATTCAGATATATTTATTTGATAGATGGCATGATGTCAATACACAACACGGCACACTTTAGAAGATGATGTTGTTTTATAACGGCGGTGACTCTAAGACTGACCTTTGACCCAGAACGCCATCAAGCCATCAGGATCTGTTTCACGAAACTTCCAGACAAATGGGGAGGGGACGTCAGGGGGTGCCGTGCCAGGGTTCACACCCACAGATATGGCCTTGATGCCATTCATCAGTAGCGATGGTAGGACAGCTTTAGTGATACCTGCAAGGTAGGACAGCTTTAGTGATACCTGCAAGGTGGGACAGATTTAGTGATACCTGCAAGGTGGGACAGCTTTAGTGATACCTGCAAGGTAGGACAGCTTTAGTGATACCTGCAAGGTGGGACAGATTTAGTGATACCTGCGAGGTGGGACAGATTTAGTGATACCTGCAAGGTGCGACAGATTTAGTGATACCTGCAAGGTGGGACAGCTTTAGTTATACCTGCAAGGTGGGACAGCTTTAGTGATACCTGCAAGGTGGGACAGATTTAGTGATACCTGCAAGGTGGGACAGATTTAGTGATACCTGCAAGGTGGGACAGATGTAGTGATACCTGCAAGGTGGGACAGCTTTAGTTATACCTGCAAGGTGGGACAACTTTAGTGATCAAGGTAGGACAGCTTTAGTGATACCTGCAAGGTAGGACAGCTTTAGTGATACCTGCAAGGTAGGACAGCTTTAGTGATACCTGCAAGGTGGGACAGCTTTAGTGATACCTGCAAGGTGGGACAGATTTAGTGATACCCTCAAGGTGGGACAGCTTTAGTTATACCTGCAAGGTGGGACAGCTTTAGTTATACCTGCAAGGTAGGACACCTTTAGTGATACCTGCAAGGTAGGACAGCTTTAGTGATACCTGCAAGGTAGGACAGCTTTAGTGATACCTGCAAGGTGGGACAGATTTAGTGATACCTGCAAGGTGGGACAGCTTTAGTTATACCTGCAAGGTGGGACAGCTTTAGTTATACCTGCAAGGTAGGACAGCTTTAGTGATACCTGCAAGGTGGGACAGCTTTAGTGATACCTGCAAGGTGGGACAGATTTAGTGATACCTGCAAGGTGGGACAGCTTTAGTGATACCTGCATGGTAGGACAGCTTTAGTGATACCTGCAAGGTGGGACAACTTTAGTGATCAAAGTAGGACAGCTTTAGTGATACCTGCAAGGTAGGACAGCTTTAGTGATACCTGCAAGGTAGGACAGCTTTAGTGATACCTGCAAGGTAGGACATCTTTAGTGATACCTGCAGGGTAGGACAACTTTAGTGATACCTGCAAGGTAGGACAGCTTTAGTGATACCTGCAAGGTAGGACAGCTTTAGTGATACCTGCAAGGTAGGACAACTTTAGTGATACCTGCAAGGTAGGACAACTTTAGTGATACCTGCAAGGTAGGACAGCTTTAGTGATACATGCAAGGTAGGACAACTTTAGTGATACCTGCAAGGTAGGACAGCTTTAGTGATACCCTCAAGGTAGGACAACTTTAGTAATCAAGGTAGGACAACTTTAGTGATCAAGGTAGGACAACTTTAGTGATACCTGCAAGATAGGACAGCTTTAGTGATACTTGAAAGGTAGGACAGCTTTAGTGATACTTGAAAGGTAGGACAGCTTTAGTGATACTTGAAAGGTAGGACAGCTTTAGTGATACCTTCAAGGTAGGACAGCTTTAGTGATCAAGGTAGAACAGCTTTAGGACAGCTTTAGCGATGAAGGTAGGACAGCTTTAGTGACACAACATGTTCACACGGTCCCTACCCGGTACGTCTCGCTGGCTCATGGTGGGGTGGCTCCTGTGGATGTTAAACATGGCGTCCAATCGCTTGGCCATGGAGAGACCGGCGTCAAACAGGTAGGTCCCAATGAAGTCTGTCTGCATGTTGAAGGGGCTGGCGTGCCACGCAATGTGACCTTCAAGGACGGCAAGCCGGAAGTCATTTTGTTCAGCAAGACTAGGGCACTGTGGGGAGTGGCATCAAGGGCATTGACTATATGCTAGGGCATAATTCTTGAGGGGCATGGACTATATGCTAGGGCATAAATGTTGAGTTTATATCAAGGGCATTGACTACATGCAAGGGCATAATTCTTGAGGGGCATGGACTATAAGCTAGGGCATAATTCTTGAATTGTTGAGTTAACGTCAGGAGCTGGACTACATGCTCGGGCATCATTGTAGCAGAAGGCGTGGTCGGACGGGAGAGCCCACGACATCTAATCCGTAAGTCACAAGTTTGGATCCTGGGCTCGAATTTAAAGGCTGAAGGACGTCCCAGTCCACCCAGCTCTGAGGGTTACCTGACTCACCTTAAGGAAAGTAAAGGCGGCTGGGCATAGTTTTGGCCACATTTATTGGCGAGGTAGCAGAAACAGATGAATTCTACTTCATCTGCTACATGGACCCCCATGTTTGAAATGGGGGATCAGGGGCAGTAACTAGACATGACGTGACTGTAAGGAGTTGGACATCTCTTAGGGGGGGCTTTGCCCCCGAACATTTTTTACCGCCCCCCCCGAACGAAATTTATATAATTTATATGAAAATATAGACTTTTAACAGTGTCCGCACCCCCCCCCCCTCGAAGAAAGTCTTCCGCCCCCCCCCCCCCGAAAAATTCAAGCGCCCCCCGGAGAAAAAAGTCTGGAAGAAACACTGCACATACCTTGAGTGGGACGCCCAGCAATGTGATGTTGGGACAGTCTAGGTAAAGGGAGACAAGCCATGGGTGGGTTGTGTAGATAAACCTCTCCGTGTAGCCCAGCTGGATTAAGGTTCTTGACGTGTTGATGGCCCTGACGAAGTACTCCGTCATGTAACGGTTGAGGACTTGGACGATGAAACCTGCGTCTAGGTCGATGCCGTCAGAGTAGCCGACATCTAATTCATTAGAGGTTTTAATTAGCGGTCAGAGTTTATATTGGCATAATGCTTAATTGCAACAGTTAAACATAACTAAGCTTAATCGTGTGTCAATGTGTCAGGTGAAAGTGTCAATGTGTCAGGTGAAAGAGCCAACTGGACTTACCTAGATGGTTCATAAATACAATGTGAACTTTATTGATTGGCGAGTCATGCTTCTGTAGAACGTCAAAGAAAACTATTTTAGAACTCCACGGATCGCTCAGACCAAATCAAAACATACAAAATATGTGCTTGAACATTTGTAAGTCCTAACATAAATTCAAGAAACCACAGCTTTTATATGTGAAAGTAAGATATCAGAGCTACCTGATATATGTGCGTCTGTTAGTATCTAATGGTTAATTAAAACATTAAAGCTTATGATTATTACAACCATTTTGTCTCACATTGATGTATGTATTTAAGATTCTTTTTTACAGGTGAGCTTAGAAATACACTTATTGGTGATCTAATACATGTACCTACCTGGACGGTTTTAGCCGCATGTACACAAGATATGACGACACAGCACACAAACAAGAGACTAGGAGATCTATACATATTGACGACCTCAGCAATTTATTTGCATCAGTTTCTCCTCAACTATCCTATAATACTAAAGTTTCCTAACAGATGTACCCGTCAGTATTGTCCTTGTGATACAAACTAAAGCGGTCAAAGTTTGATAGGACAAAGAATGCAAGGAGTGGAGAATGGTTTGTCTTGTTATCAATACATCTTACAGATATCGATATTTGAAGTATAGATTTTGTATCTTGCTGCAAGCATCATGTCTTTCTTATAATTGTCTAGTCGACATAACACGAACATATTAATGTATCAACGTCGCTACGTCCAAGTTTACACGCCAATGTGACCACGATAGTGTCCAACTGGGTGTGTCTACATTGATATGCATACATCGATATGTTAATATTGATGTGTTAACGTAAATTTGTTTACAGACAGTGATAACATTTAGGTTAACCAGAGAACTACAGTTAGTGATAACATTTAGGTTAACCAGAGAACTACAGTCAGTGATAACATTTAGGTTAACCAGAGAACTACAGACAGTAATAACATTTAGGTTAACCAGAGAACTACAGTCAGTGATAACATTTAGGTTAAACAGAGAACTACAGACAGTGATAACATCTAGGTGGTGACGTGAGGCTGCAATATCTCTAAGTTGACAATCTTGTCTTATAGTGCAGCAAGAGATATTTAGATGGTAGCTTTCTAAGTGTGCTATCCTGTTATTTTCCACAAAACATTACAATGTTTATGTATCGTAATATGGCATCTGGTCATCTATGACCTGTGTAATGATTTTTTCCCAGATATGACACTTTTTTTCAGAGGCTGACAGAAAAATGTAATATGGCCGAATGAATATTGCAAAAAATATTGGCCCGATATTCAATGCCAAAGAACCCAAAAAACTTTTTGAAATTTTACCTCGATTTTCAAAAAAACTTTATAAAATGGAATATGACCTCTGGTAAACTTTGACCGCTTTAATGTTTTTTCCATATTCAATACACAGTGTTGAATATACTTTTATAATAATAGTGAATGTATGATTTATTTGTATTGGTGAAGATGTTTTTGGAGTAAACGCGCTTTGATGTGTTATTGAGCTCGACTGTATTTAATTTGGTATCGACGTAATTTGTGTTTACTTGGTGCTTAGTGGTGGTACCGACACTATTTGTGTTTACTTGGTACTTTAACACCCAGACAAGGAAGAGTCTCATAAAGAACTACCGCGACTATATTTTAAGACGTGATTATAATTAACAGAAACACAAATAATTGGAGTAATTATTTTTTAATTATGTTGTGTCTCATGTAACTTCTATGTAAACAACAGTCCCTCTATGTGTCGTGTTATTACGGCGGCTGAGCATTGATCCACCCAACCCCATCCTTTTTGTTTCCTGTCAATTTCACAAATTAAAGTTCCTTAACTCACACTCCGAGAACAAGAGAGTTCTCTGACTTGTTTTGTTTAGCGCGTGACTTGAGACTGTTAAAATAATTATCTGACTGAACTTAGTCCACATTGATTTTTCTACAAATATGTTTGGCTTTATAATTGAGTTTGATCACGAAGTCCAGCAGCTAGACTGTTTAGTTCGTCTGTCTAATAATAGTCTCAGTTAATCTAGACAATAAATAGATATGGGGCGAGATATTGCTTATATTTTCTAGCGACTGCAGCTTTGAGTTTTGTCCGTGGCTGTTGTATCCTGTTCTGGTTAAATCTTCTTTAAATTTCGCAAATATTCGATCGCAGGTTGTTACTAGAATCACGTTGACAATCTGATCCTGGCTTTGTGACGAAGCAAGAATCAAGTTCATTAGCTGATCCTGGCTTTGTGACGAAGTAAAAATCAAGTTTAAAATCTGATCCTGATCTTGTAACGAAGCAAGCATAAAGTTGACAATCTAATCCTAGCTTTGTGACGAAGTAAAAATCAAGTTTAAAATCTGATCCTAGCTTTGTGACGAAGTGAAAATCAAGTTTAAAATCTGATCCTAGCTTTGTGACGAAGTAAAAATCAAGTTTAAAATCTGATCCTAGCTTTGTGACGAAGTAAAAATCAAGTTTAAAATCTGATCCTAGCTTTGTGACGAAGTAAAAATCAAGTTTAAAATCTGATCCTAGCTTTGTGTCGAGGCAAGCATCAAGTTGATTAGCTGATTATGGTTATGACGTGAGCTCAGCCAAAACGTTTTAGCGCCATTTTTCCTACCGACAAGCCCCAGAGTCCCACCAGTCTGTAGGCCCCAGTTTACATACTCGTCTGACTCTGATAGTATTACCAACGTCAGTCTGTAGGCCCCAGTTTACATACTAGTCTGACTCTGATAGCATTACCGTTTTGTTACTACTTTAGTTCGGACGTTTTATACGTTACATTTTTAATGGAGATCTGTTTCACGTAGTCTACTTCCAATGTTGATTAGTTGATTTTTAAATTCGTCATTTTAGAAAATAATTTCTAATTCATATTGTACGAGTAAACAGTGTGTAAACGATAGCATCATATAACAGAGACAATGACAACAGAACAGACAGCAACAAGTTCTGACTTTAAAGATTTGACTGAAGCCCAGTTGAGCGTGTCTCTGATACTGCTAGACAAATGTCTGGACCCCGTAACTCAGGTGTTTGGGTTGGTGGCAAACAGCATCAACTTGCTGATATTCTACAAGCTGGGGCTAAAAGATAGTATGAACGTTTCGTTCTGGGCACTTTCTCTTTCAGAGTTCATGTTCATTTTCTTCTGTTTTGTCAACAATTTGTTTATGATTGTGGCGATGTCGCCATGGCAACAAGACCTGCCGGTCAGTATGCTGTCTCTTGTTGGCTGGCTGACCTGGTACCAGTACATTTTCCTGGACACCTCGACCTGCATACAGACCTACATAGCCGTGGCTAGGTGCTGCTGTGTTTCGATGCCGCTACGGTTCAAACATGTCTTCACGTATAAAAGAACTGTGTCGATTTACGTTGTGGCTTTTCTGTCGAGTGTGGTTTTTAGGATTCCTGTATTGTCGACCAACGGCTTGTCGTGGCAAACAAACCCAGCCAACAACAAAACGCGACTTATGATTTGGTTCGCTCCGGAATTTCCTTTCGTTAAAAATCTGGAGAAAATTATATGCAGGACTGTATTTCCGGTTCTATTTTTAGCGGTTGCAATTTTGTGTTTGGCTGTGTTGATCAGCACTCTAGTGACTGCTTCAAAGAGGAGGTCACGAATGACGGGAAATCACGTGATTAGACCTACCTGTATTGATGGTAGTATCAGTGGGGCGAAGTCTTCAGACAACCAAACAATGGAGGAGTTAGGTAAAGCAAACCACGTGCGCGATTTACTCAACAACCCTCAAGTGAAACACGTTCTGACCGTTAAAGAAATTCAGGTCGTGAAGGCCGTGACCCTTGTGACCTTGATTCTGGGGATGACCTTAACGGTTTTTTCAATGGTGGCTTTAGCAGAGGTCGTTGAACCCGAGTTTTTCGCGGGCCGACGATACAGACGTCTGAACGCGCTAGTCACCAACCTGTCCTTCTGCCTGTTTACTATTGGCGCCAGCTGCGACATCTTTGTTTACTACAGCTGTAACTCTCGGTACAGGGAAACGTTGCATAGAGTTATCGGACTTGTTGCCACGGAAACTTAGTATGTTGCCCTAAAGTCAAACAACAGGGGAAGAAACTGAAAGATCAGCGTATGATGACCTTTAATAAAAACCAATCTTAGACAGTTTGAAATAGTTTATTGTGTCAGTTAGTCTATACAGTTAGACGGGGTGGTCTAGCGGTATAAAAGTATATATTTTGTATAGAAATTCCATTTCGTTCGGGAGATGCCTGGAAGAAACTCTGACGGACACTGTTAAAAGTATAATTAAGTATATATTTTCTCTATAAGCCTGGCGTACACCCAGATGTCTAGCGGCTGGGAACATGAGTGAGAGAAATGCTCGAGTCTTAACCCTGTTCTAGTCTGTCTAAAGTGGTGACACAGAGCAAACTGGTACATGAAGTGGTGACACAATCAGCTTTACAAACAGATCAGAGACAAAGTCTCTTAAAGGCATCTCTTTGGCATCGGGGAGGTAGGGGGGAGGCGCTCTGAAAGTTTACGCCCCCCCCCCAACGATAGGAATTTATATAGAAAATATATACTTTCAGCCCCCCCCCCCCCCCGGGGTCGGCGTGGTCGAGTCGGTAAAGCTCATGGTTGCTAAACCGAAAAGTCTCGAGTTCGAACCCCCGGGCAGATGAGGCTCGTTAGCTGAGGACAGCAACTCTTCTAGGAGAGACAACTCCAAAATCAAACAACTGCTGCCTTGTAGTTTGTTCTTAGTTGGACAAAGGCTATAGAAGCAAATCCAAAAAGAAAAGCAGGCTGAAATCGGAGTCAATGGATCAGAGTGAAACCAAGTGGTGACACACAGTAAGCTGGTACAAACAGATTAGAGATAAAGTGGTGACACACAGTAAGCTGGTACAAACAGATTAGAGATAAAGTGGTGACACACAGTAAGCTGGTACAAACAGATTAGAGATGAAGTGGTGACACACAGTAAGCTGGTACAAACAGATTAGAGATGAAGTGGTGACACACAGTAAGCTGGTACAAACAGATCAGAGATAAAGTAGTGACAAACAGATCAGAGATAAAGTAGTGACACAGTAAGCTGGTACAAACAGATCAGAGATGAAGTGGTGACACAGTAAGCTGGTACAAACAGATCAGAGATGAAGTGGTGACACAGTAAGCTGGTACAAACAGATCAGACATGAAGTAGTGACACAGTAAGCTGGTACAAACAGATCAGAGATGAAGTAGTGACACAGTAAGCTGGTACAAACAGATCAGAGATAAAGTGGTGACACAGTAAGCTGGAGAAAAAAAAGAAAGATGAAGAAGTGACACAGTAAGCTGGTACAAACAGATCAGAGATAAAGTGGTGACACAGTAAGCTGGTACAAACAGATCAGAGATAAAGTAGTGACACAGTAACCTGGTACAAATAGATCAGAGATAAAGTGGTGACACACAGTAAGCTGGTACAAACAGATCAGAGATGAAGTGGTGACACAGAGTAAGCTGGTACAAACAGATCAGAAATGAAGTGGTGACACAGTAAGCTGGTACAAACAGATCAGAGATGAAGTAGTGACACAGTAAGCTGGTACAAACAGATCAGAGATGAAGTGGTGACACACAGTAAGCTGGTACAAACAGATCAGAGATAAAGTAGTGACACACAGTAAGCTGGTACAAACAGATCAGAGATGAAGTGGTGACACACAGTAAGCTGGTACAAACAGATCAGAGATGAAGGAGTGACACAGTAAGCTGGTACAAACAGATCAGAAATAAAGTAGTGACACAGTAAGCTGGTACAAACAGATCAGAGATGAAGTGGTGACACACAGTAAGCTGGTACAAACAGATCAGAGATGAAGTGGTGACACACAGTAAGCTGGTACAAACAGATCAGAGATGAAGGAGTGACACAGTAAGCTGGAGAAAAAAAGAAAGATGAAGTGGTGACACAGTAGACTGGAGAAAAAAAGAAAGATGAAGTGGTGATATTTTGTTATCACACCAGAGATAGAGAAACAAAAAAGTAAACAAATAAAACTCCTATTTCTACTGATGTGTAACAATGTAGACCTACTGGTGTTGCCTGATCTGATGATAGTCCTACTATTTTTAAATTTATTAAAGTATGAGGACAGAACAAATTAAATTTTTTACCCATACATTTTATTGGAATGTGCAATTTATTTTAGAAAATATACAGTGACAAAAACAAATATGTTATTTATAACATACTTACATGGGAAGAAACATTTAAAATATGGGGTAAATCTTTTTTTCCATAATAAAATAAAATGTGTAATAAACATTTTTGAGATGTGGAGTCAATATAAAATTTGATTCTTTCAAAAAGTACAGCAGTCCTTTTTTTACCATAGTAAGGCAATACAACAAAGTTGTAGAAAAATGTGGAAACCTTGTATTTTTAAATAAATGACAAATGTTAACCAGCCACATACAATAATGTTGTGCCTCATGGATAAAGTAGTATGACAATTTAAGTATAAAATTAATGGTATTCATTTGGATTCAAAAGATACCCTGTTTAAAATTAAAATTTTAAGTGATTCAAATTTTTTGCTTTAAAAAAGAGAAAATTAAATGATTTTCTCAAAATATAATAGTACACCACTATTTATATACCAATATAGAAAAGCATGGCTCACTATATTATGTGTTGAAAACATTAGGCAATTGGTAGGCTCATCGCTATACAGTCCTACAAACAATTATATAGGCCTCTATGCTACTAATACAGTCCACTTTACAACTACACCAGGACTCAAATACTGCTAGAAGTAAACACTGTTAATATTTATTTGAAACTGATTACAATGAATAAAATTGTATTGGTGCCTAGGTATTTAGTTATATGAACAGTGGTGTTATTCTATATAATGAAAATCTTTTTTTTTTTTTATTTTTAATGGAAAATAAAAGCTTGTTATTATAAACATTTTTATGGTATTTATTTTTACTTTTTCTGATAAAGAAAATTGCACCACTAAATTTGTACCACTAAATTTGTACCACTAAAGTTGTACCACTAAATTTGTACCACTAAATTTGTACCACTAAATTTGTACCACTAAAAGAAAAGCAAATGAATGCACTGAATGTGTATGTGTTTTAGTGTAACACCAGTTGTGTTTGTTTAAGTGTAACACTAGTTGTGTTTGCATAGCAATCATTAATGAATATAAAAAAATTATTTACATTACAGTCATGTCACATTACATTGTCATCAGACCTTGACCAATGTGTCAAGTTTGAAATGATGGGTTTCAAGGAAATTTGTTTCCATACAATAATGGAGCCATATGGGTACATATTAGTAATTATTTTTAGTAAAACGCACTCAAACAACACACTTGTGATAAAAAATCTTAAAACTATTAGTGTGAATAAAAAACATCTCTTAAAACTATTAGTGTGAATAAAAAGCAGCTCAGAAAAAAGTTGGCTGATGTTCTGTTAAGAGATACTGGTACATCCACATTACAATGTGTACACTAACCAAATCACTAAAACAGCTGACTCCAGTAAGTCTAGACAAAATTAAGAGAAAACCTGGTCTAGACAAAATTAAGAGAAAACCTGGTCTAGACAAAGTTTAGAGAAAACCTGGCCTTGAAATCTGCGTCCTCCTTGTTGTAGGGGTACCAGTAGATGTAGTTTGTGTTCCAGATGTTGTTGTAGAGGTTGAATGAGACAGTCTGGATGGTGGAACACTTGAATGGATGGAGGGGGACGGGGAAGGGGGAGTCTGTGTGGTCAGTCGTGCCCAGTAGAACAATAGGAACATCTCTGGTCAAGATTTCAACACCATGTCCAGATGCATTGAGAAGGTTGACCCCTTTGTCCACACCTATATAAGCAACAACATAATAACTGTATAAAAAATGTTAAATAATTGTTAAATAAAACTTGGTAACATCTTTTTGTATGTATGAACAACTTCAAGAAAAAATTCAGTAAACCAAAATGTTTAAAAAAATTTGAGCAAGCCTTTAAATTTTACGAAACTTTAAATTATTTCTTTAAAGCCAAAAATATTGGACTCAGTAAGGAATAACCAGCATCAGGACATGATAAATTCCTAAATAGAAACAAAAATAAATTTTTTACCATAAACATATTGGCTGCCATTTAAAACCACATTGCAAGGATCAATACTTTGTCCCATCTTACTCAAAGACCAGACACCGTCCAGATTTTGGGGTGTGAAGCCAAATGCAATTGACTCTGGTAACCTTGTTGTTACTTTACCCAGCATTAGCAGTGTGATGTCCAACCCTGAAATTATAAAATTGGTTCGTATTAGCCCCTGGGCCTATGGGCATTATCATACTTTCATTTACTTTCAAGTAGAAAATATTTTAAAATATAATTATTTCACCATTTCCTCAAATTTTCTCTTATATTTTTAAACAATACATTTGTGTAGAAACCAATAGGGATGTTATCTGTATACTGGCAAAAAGTGTGATTAAAAGATCTATGGCTGTTAGAATGTTCAAATTCCTACCTTTAGTGGCAGAGTTTGTGGAATACTGAACAAAAAACACTTGTGGAGCGCCATACTTTGTGCGGGTTTGGTCATCTTTTGTTGTGACCTTGACCCAAAAATCACAGTTTGTTGAGTTCACTGGAGAAATACAAAAATTCTGGGATTCTTTAATAAAGTGGGTTTATACAGGGAAATAGAAAAAACATACGAGTGGTCCCAGATTGGGCATAAAATTAAAATAGTTCTAAGCTTAGTGACTAATTTTTACCATTCTTATAAATGTTGAGAGCGGTTATCTCCCATCTTTTCTTCTCAGGCTTGGCGTATCTTGTGACGTTAGGTTTGTCGTAACCCACACCAGCCTCATAGTTGTACAGCTTGGCCATGTCTATAAAGTCCTGCTCTACATATGTGTCATAGATCAGGTGACCAATGGTTGATGCTGGACTTGCCCACTCTCTCTGGTGAAAGTAAATTAATTAAATAAGCCATCGGGTCGGCGTGGTTGAGTCGGTAAAGCTCATGGTTGCTAAACCGAAAAGTCTCGAGTTCGAACCCTCAGGCAGAAGAGGCTCGTTAGCTGGGGACAGCCACTCTTCTAGGAGAGACAACTCCAAAATCAGACAACTGCTGCCTTGTAGTTTGTTCTTGGTTGGACAAAGGCTATGGAAGCAAATCCAAAAAGAAAAGCAGGCTGAAATCGGAGTCAATGGCCTCAATGGCGCATAACCAGTTGACACGTAATCCTTAATTGTGATGGAAGCATTGGTCGAGTCGGCAAAGCTCATGGTTGATAAGTTCGAAAAAAGTCTCGAGTTCAAACCCTCTGGCAGATAATGCTCGATCCCTCCCAACACTAAAAATTAAGAACGAAGAAGAAGAAGAAATAAGCCATCAAAATATAAACAATTTTTTTGAGCTACATTGATAGAGTCACTAATAAGAATGTGAGTAATGTTTACACAACATAAAGCCAAATGAGGAAATGATGTATATTATAGTCTGTCTGTCACATGGCAAATAATGTCTGTATGTCACATGAGATGTCAGTCTGTCATATTGTTGTACATCAGTCATGAGAGAGTTACCTGATTGATTGGGTCATAGAGACGAGAGAGTGAGCCATCAGCAGAAAACTTGATGACCACACCACTAGCGCAGGTGTAATCCACACCTACTTGAGCTTCAGCATAGCCTACAATAGTTCATAAAAAAAAGTAAAAAATCCTCTTTAGACCTAGTGATCCATTGGGCAGATGAATTAGAGTTCATATGTTTGTTGACCTTGGCATCTGAAAGGAAGGTGTGGTTAGCACTTTGCCCAGCTGCCTTTACTTTCCCTAACATGAGATAGGTACCCATCAGAGCTGGGTGGAGTCAGGGATGTTTACTGACTTGGACCCGGGTTCAAACAAGAGACTTTCAGGTTAGCAGTCTAGTGCTCTACTGCTTAGGCCAAGCCATCCTATACAATAGTCCATAGGTAGTCTTAAATTTATTTTATATATTCAACTATACAATAATTTACATGTTGACTAAAATAACTATCTATATGTCATATAAAATTGATCATATGTAGCCTAAAATAATATACTTGTAGCCTAAAACACTTAACATAAAATAGTGTCTATGTTGTCTATTATGCAGTCTATAATAGTCTGTATGTGGCATAAAATAGTTTCTATGAAGCTTTGTTAAGCATGATGTGTTTTTCAGCCTTCTATTCTACCAGTAAAAAAATAATAACAAAACCTGATGAAAGAGAAGATTAATTTTTTAAAAGAGCAAGAGCCAAGTAAAACAATAAGGTACCAATGATCTACCTGCTAGATCAGGCTGGGCAGCATACATGTTCTTATATTCATCCAGTACAAGGTCCTTGAGTGGGTGGTCTGCCAGAGCATTGAGGGCAAAGTCCAGAAACTGGCGCTGTTCTCTCCAGGTGTCTTCAGCAGTTTTATACACCTTGGCTACAAACATGCACAAAATAATATCAGAAATTTACATATTTTGACTGCCAACAAAAAATTCATCAGTTGTATAGACCTTGGCTACAATCATGCAAAAAAAAAAATCAGAAATTTTATAGATTTTGACTGAATAGAAAAACTTCAGCAGTTTTATAGACCTTGGCTACAAACACACAAAAAAAAATATATATCAGACATTTTTTACATTTTGACTGCCAAAAAAAAATTCAGCAGTTTTATAGATCTTGGCTACAAGCATGCAAAAAAAATTATTAGAAATTTTATGGATCTTTCCTGCCAACAAAATTATCTTTAAATTAAAACTAGCAACTAAAAAACTTACACTGTCTAGCCACTGCCAACTCAGCATTAGTCCAGTTGACATGATCCAAAAAGTCATGGGCCCCCCACGTATGTTCTGGTAGTTTGATCAGGAACCTCAACATGTTCTGTATACGTGGGTCGGCATCCAAACATTTCCCTGGGGAGGTTAACACAGTAACCTATATGGGGTCTTGAGTGGACATACATTATGTGAATCTTGCTTATATAACAACATCACATACCTATAGCCCATATAACAACATCACATACCTATAGCCCATATAACAACATCACATACCTATAGCCCATATAACAACATCACATACCTATAGCCCATATAACAACATCACATACCTATAGCCCATATAACAACATCACATACCTATATCCCATATAACAACATCACATACCTATAGCCCATATAACAACATCACATACCTATAGCCCATATAACAACATCACATACCTATAGCCCATATAACAACATCACATACCTATAGCCCATATAACAACATCACATACCTATAGCCCATATAACAACATCACATACCTATAGCCCATATAACAACATCACATACCTATAGCCCATATAACAACATCACATACTTATAGCCCATATAACAACATCACATACCTATAGCCCATATAACAACATCACATACCTATAGCCCATATAACAACATCACATACCTATAGCCCATATAACAACATCACATACCTATAGCCCATATAACAACATCACATACCTATAGCCCATATAACAACATCACATACCTATAGCCCATATAACAACATCACATACCTATAGCCCATATAACAACATCACATACCTATAGCCCATATAACAACATCACATACCTATAGCCCATATAACAACATCACATACCTATATCCCATATAACAACATCACATACCTATAGCCCATATAACAACATCACATACCTATAGCCCATATAACAACATCACATACCTATAGCCCATATAACAACATCACATACCTATAGCCCATATAACAACATCACATACCTATAGCCCATATAACAACATCACATACCTATAGCCCATATAACAACATCACATACCTATAGCCCATATAACAACATCACATACCTATAGCCCATATAACAACATCACATACCTATAGCCCATATAACAACATCACATACCTATAGCCCATATAACAACATCACATACCTATAGCCCATATAACAACATCACATACCTATAGCCCATATAACAACATCACATACCTATAGCCCATATAACAACATCACATACCTATAGCCCATATAACAACATCACATACCTATAGCCCATATAACAACATCACATACCTATAGCCCATATAACAACATCACATACCTATAGCCCATATAACAACATCACATACCTATAGCCCATATAACAACATCACATACCTATAGCCCATATAACAACATCACATACCTATAGCCCATATAACAACACATACCTATAGCCCATATAACAACATCACATACCTATAGCCCATATAACAACATCACATACCTATAGCCCATATAACAACACATACCTAGAGCCCATATAACAACAACACATACCTATATCCCATATAACAACATCACATACCTATATCCCATATAACAACATCACATACCTATAGCCCATATAACAACATCACATACCTATAGCCCATATAACAACATCACATACCTATAGCCCATATAACAACATCCCATACCTATAGCCCATATAACAACATCACATACCTATAGCCCATATAACAACATCACATACCTATAGCCCATATAACAACATCACATACCTATAGCCCATATAACAACATCACATACCTATAGCCCATATAACAACATCACATACCTATAGCCCATATAACAACATCACATACCTATATCCCATATAACAACATCACATACCTATAGCCCATATAACAACATCACATACCTATAACCCATATAACAACATCACATACCTATTGCCCATATAACAACATCACATACCTATTGCCCATATAACAACATCACATACATATAGCCCATATAACAACATCACATACCTATAGCCCATATAACAACATCACATACCTATAGCCCATATAACAACATCACATACCTATAGCCCATATAACAACATCACATACCTATAGCCCATATAACAACATCACATACCTATAGCCCATATAACAACATCACATACCTATAGCCCATATAACAACATCACATACCTATAGCCCATATAACAACATCACATACCTATAGCCCATATAACAACATCACATACCTATAGCCCATATAACAACATCACATACCTATAGCCCATATAACAACATCACATACCTATAGCCCATATAACAACATCACATACCTATAGCCCATATAACAACATCACATACCTATAGCCCATATAACAACATCACATACCTATAGCCCATATAACAACATCACATACCTATAGCCCATATAACAACATCACATACCTATAGCCCATATAACAACATCACATACCTATAGCCCATATAACAACATCACATACCTATAGCCCATATAACAACATCACATACCTATAGCCCATATAACAACATCACATACCTATATACCATATAACAACATCACATACCTATAGCCCATATAACAACATCACATACCTATAGCCCATATAACAACATCACATACCTATAGCCCATATAACAACATCACATACCTATATACCATATAACAACATCACATACCTATAGCCCATATAACAACATCACATACCTATAGCCCATATAACAACATCACATACCTATAGCCCATATAACAACATCACATACCTATATACCATATAACAACATCACATACCTATAGCCCATATAACAACATCACATACCTATAGCCCATATAACAACATCACATACCTATAGCCCATATAACAACATCACATACCTATATCCCATATAACAACATCACATACTATATCCCATATAACAACATCACATACCTATAGCCCCTATAACAACATCACATACCTATAGCCCATATAACAACATCACATACCTATAGCCCATATAACAACATCACATACCTATATCCCATATAACAACATCACATACTATATCCCATATAACAACATCACATACCTATAGCCCCTATAACAACATCACATACCTGTATCCCTGCAGCCCTCCCATGCCCTGACAAAAGCTCTGTACATGGCTGTTTTCTTGGGGTCACTAGCGACCCCTTGTATCCAGGTGTCTCCAATTTCAAATGAGCGGACAGGTAATGTTGACTTGACAGTTTCCAACACTTTGACAAAGTTGTCAAATGTGGACGCCACTAGTTCAGCTCCAGGAAACTCAGCTCTGAGAATTTCATAATAACCAAGAATTTCCTGAAAAATCAATGTCAGCAATCAAGCAATAATAAAACAATTAAGTCTTTACAGTAAAATAACTAGGAATACAGAAGATTGTTAGTTATATGTACTGACACATTTATGAAGCTTAAACAGTGAATGAAGGAGCATCAATAGAATTGTTAGAGAGCATAATTTTAACGATGTGTTACTTGAATCTCAACAGGAGGCCCAGTGTTATCTGTCCTAAATGCAAAACACAGAACTTCCTCTAGGCCATCAACAATGATGCACTTGTCTTTGGCCAGACCCCGGGGGTGGGCTGGGTCAGGTCCTGGGTTCAGTGGGTAGCCACCTACAACAGTGGGGAGTCAATTGTAAACATACAGTGTATCATAATAGCACATGGCTAAGTTATAATTATTTCTGATATGAAATTTAGAAAACTAAAACAACTTGATAACAGCTAAGGAATGTACTTCTTACATTTCCCTTTAAAATAAACACAAGTTAGAACAGCCTATAATGTACTTCTCTCTGTACCTTTAACATAAAATGTCATGATTCCCTCTTGATCAGAGTCTCTCAGCTTCCACAGGAACACAGGAGGTACATCAGGTGGAGCAGTACCTGGGTTGACACCTACAGATATAGCCTTGACCCCACGTGATGCAAGGAGAGGAAGAAGTGCCTTGGTCATGCCTAAAGTTGGATACAACAACATTGTAGGTTTGTGGCGAGGCTGTAGTTGGATACAACATTGTAGGTTGGTGGAGAGGTAGTTGGATACAACATTGTAGGTTGGTGGAGAGGCTGTAGTTGGATACAACATTATAGGTAGGTGGAGAGGCTGTAGTTGGATACAACATTATAGGTAGGTGGAGAGGCTGTAGTTGGATACAACATTATAGGTTGGTGGAGAGGCTGTAGTTGGATACAACATTATAGGTTGAAAGGACCAAAACATTGACCTGGTATATCTCTTTGACTCATGGTGGCGTGTGTTCGATGGATCTGGAACATGTTATCCAGCTGTTTAGAGAGATCCAGTCCATAGGAGAACAGGTTGGCCCCAAGGTTGTCTGTCTGGATGTTCATGGCAAAAGCGTGCCATGCTATGTGACCCTCTCTGACTGCCTTTTTAAAATCCTCCTGCTCAGTTTTGTTGGGGCACTGAAGAAGATCATTTGAGATCAATTAGTATTTTTTACTAGATTTTTTTAAAACCACTCCTTCATTTGCCAATATCATGACTCAGGGACTTAAATTTTTTTTAAAATAATAAAGTAGAGAACATAATAAATAAAGAGAATGCTTAATTATAATTTACATATAACTTGCTATAATTAGAAATTACAAAAACTAATGATCAAGCTTACTTTGAGAGGGACATTCAAAAGCTGAATTTTTGGACAATCTAAATATAGTGAAACCAGCCAGGGGTGTGTAGTATAGACAAATCTTTCAGTGTAACCCAAGCTTATCAGATTGCGAGATGTGTTAATGGCCCTAACAAAGTATTCGGATTGGTAGCGGTTAAGGACTTCAACAGCAAACCCAGCATCTTCATCTAGACCATCATAGTAGCCAACATCTGAAAGTAGACAGAATTGAACTGTTAGAAATAAAACACACAAGAATTTTCACACTAATTTTAGCCCAATCTATTGTACTTATTTAGGGTGCATTAAAAAAAACTTCTCCCAGGCTGTTTTAAATCATGTTGACTTACCAAGATGATTCATAAACACTACATGGACTTTCTTGATTGGAGTGTTTGAGCTCATTTGAAAAACCTTTGAAAGTAAGGAAACAATGACAAATAATTATACAAATTGCTTCATATTTACTGTATAATATGAAGATGTAAAATATAAATTAATTTATAATAGATAGAAAATGTAAGCGTCAACAACTAGAAAACAAACAATATGAAATGTCTTCTTTAAAATAATTATCTCAATTGTTAGAAAAAAAAAATTAAAAGGTGAAAGAAGAATTTTAATTGAAGTAAAATAAATGAACTAATTTCAGTGGTTAAGGCACTTACATTGTGTTTCCATGAGCCATTTGCAAGGGTAAAAAGAAGACAAAAAGCTAAACATGTTAAAATGTGTAGACTGGACATAGTGACCAACTAGTCTTAGGCAGCAGTGCCAGGGGGATCGGCTAACCTGTGATAAAAACAAACAGTGGCATAAAATAAAATAAAATGTTCGGTCGAAGATTCAAAGGGACAACTCGAAATATCGTCCTAGATCTACTACTACTTACTATAAGTACGAAGTTAAATATGTAATATGTAGTATTAGGCCTACTAATTACTATAACTTGCTTATTATACTAATAATACTAATAGTATGATAACTACTTCGGCCTGTAGATGATAGTAGATCTAATTATAATTGTGAGTAAGTTATATAATATTATATAGATCTATTATAATAAAAATAAAAACTTAAAAAGGGCCAGTGGCCACTGTTCATTAAAATAAAAAATCAAATTAATGATTCATAAGGCGGGTTATATTTAATCAAAATTAGTTAGCCTAATGAACACTACAGTAAATACAGATCTGATAGTACTAGTACTTACTGCTTACTTATTACTAAATAAATCTAGATTCGAGATATCTAAATATACAATTTTACAATATACAAATTGTGGCGTAACCTGGTTTGTTTGGGGTTATCGGCTCATAGTCAGCTGACAGCTCTAGGAAGCTTGTCCTATTTATAATTTAACTTTCGCAATATAATAAGGTGAGATTGTAATTTTGCGAAAGAAATGTTAGATTAACATAATAGAAATGAAAGTAGATCTTAGGTCTTGAAGCTAGATCTAGTCTAGAACTAAGTCTCAGTGACTAGCTAGCTAGCTAACTAGCTAGACTTAGAATCTAGATCTAGATAGATCTAGAGTCCTTAGTAAGAGACTAACACTAATCACTAAGTACTAAGTTACAAGTAAGTATTAAGTAAATAAAGTTTACTTTTAGTAAAGAAAGTCACAGGTCACCAGATTTTCTTCCAGGCCCCCCCCCCCCCCCCCCCCCCCCTCCCCAAATTTTAAGTGCTTCGCTGGAGAAAAAAGTCTGTAAGTTAGAAACACTAACAGCTAACACAGTACACTGCAGGTCACAGTCATAGTGTGACTAATGACTAAAGTGACAACTAAACTAAAAGTCAAACAACTAGTAACTAGATCTAATCAAGATTAAGATTTAGATCTAGAATCTAAGTCTTTTAAAAGTTTGTCTTCAAATTGTCTTGGTTTGGGTCTTTTTGACTTGTCATTTTTACTTTCTCGTATATACGAAGTATAGAGAAAGTATTGTAATCGTGCACAAAAATAACATGAAATTTTGACAGTTTTCACCTTTTTACTCCTCAGTCCTTCATCACATCTGGAGTATAGAGGACTTATTTTAATCAGGCAAAAATTATTAATACAAATATATAAACATTTTGGCGTTTTATGCGTTATCGAGTCGTAAAAACTGGACTTTGCACTTCTGTCCGTATGTCTGTGTGTGTGTGTGTGTGTGTGTGTGTGTGTCTGTGTGTAAACACGATAACATGAGTACCGTTACAGCTAGGTTGGTGAAATTTCATATATAAGTATTTTATCAAAATCGTAGATCCTGATCAACTTTTGAGCGATTTCCGATAACAGGAAGTGGTAATTTTTCTAGTTTGAATTGTTAAAAAGCCTATAACTTGAGTACTATTTCAGATAGATAACTGAAATTTGTAAGTAACAGGTCTAATTTAATTCTCTACCTTCTGTCGAATTTTGAGTAATTTCCTTTGATTGAAAGTACTAATTTACGCTATTTCCGATTTCTCAAAAACGAATGTAAATTTATAAAGTACTAATAATATTCCGCACTATTATGCACGTTTTATTAGGCGTTCACAGGTGTGCAATTCTGTTTCTACGAGATTTTATTCTAATTTATAAAGTAATAATAATATTCTGCACTATTATGCACATTTTATTTGGCGTTCACAGGTGTGCAATTTTTTTTTCTACGAGAGTTTATTCTATTTTAAAAAGTGTAAGTATTTAAAATGGATTAAAATTCATGTCTATATCCCGAGTTCCCATCCCCTGTTTTTTAATAAAAGAATATTCGAGAAAGTTTAGGGGAGATCGCTCCCGGTTTATTTTACAATTAGCATTTGCTTAGGCCAAGGCTACGACACGTGGTGAAGTCTAGTGACTAGATCTCTAGATAGATCTAGGACCAGATCTATCCAAACCCCCCCCCCCCCACACAAAAATTAGTCCTTACCTGTCCTAGATCTAGATTCTAGTTTAGAAGCAGAATGTTATAAATATTACATTAATGGGTTAGTACGGTCAGAGGCGTAAGCGAGGGGGCGGGGAGAGTGTGGACCACACCATTTATGGGGGTGACACCAAGGCAAAAAATAGCAAAATATATACAGAAAAATGATAATTTCACTTAATTAAATGATTAATTTGAGTGAATTAAATAGTCTTTTAAGAGCAAAAGTGGGCAAATCCCAACACTGGTGGAGGGGGGAATGGGACACCATGACGTAAACCTGCTAATGATGAAGAAAACATGCAATATCCAGCTGAATTTATAACTGAATATAATTACAAATTGTTAGTATTATCTGAGTACAGTTTAAAGCATTCACTGTGAGACAGGGGGGGGGGGGGTGGAAGCTACATCAACTGTTGCAATATAAATGCCAGAGGAAAACAGTTTGGGTGAGAATTGTAACAAGCTATTATTTGTTAATCCATGTGTGGGGGGGGGGGAAACATTAAATACATCAGGCAGAAAAAAAAAATTTGAATACATATACACATGCATATACACATACTTACAAGTGTAGTATATGGAATATATATATATATTTATTTATTTTTCCTTACGGGGGGGGGGGGGGGGGGGGTGTGACTCCATCAGGTGCCGCACCGGGTGATACCCGACCTCGCTATGCCACTGGTTACGGTTAGTAGGCCTAGGCCTTAATTATTTAATACTTAATAATAAGGCCTATTGATTATTATTAATTATTTCTAATGCATTAGAGGCCTAATATTAACACTATGCTTACAATACAGTGTCAGTGCAGGTTATGATTTTGGAACTTAATTAAAAGGAATTCATTGAATTAACACAGTTCATGCATAAACTTTTATTAGGTTTAAAAAGTAAGCATGACATTAAAAAAACAAAAGCTGTTAGTACTGTATGGTAGCCAGACAGGAACAGCTCATGATGTTGCAGACAGAATTGTTAGAGAAGCAAAAAGGAGACATTTTTCTGCATTGGCAGTTGACATGGATACCTACCAAGTGGTAAATAAGTAACTTAGTAACAGAGTTTCTTCCAGGCATCTCTTTTTTTTCCCCCGAACGAAATGAAATTTATATTGAAAACATATACTTTTACTAGTGTCCCCCCCCCTCCCCAAATATCATGTATCCCTAGAGAAAACAGTCTGGAGGAAAAACTGACTAGTAAGCTGATCACAACACAGCATACTTTGTCAATAATTATTCATATATTTATGCAATTTTCAAGATTTATATTATGTAATTGTAAGAACCTCACTAAATGTATTTTTTAAAAAGTCATATGTTTATAGTTAATATATATTTCTAGCTGAAATTCATGTATAATTTTTTTCAGCACAATCTTATCAATGAAAAACTGGTTGTGTTTGTTTGTTCTACAACTGGTCAAGGTGACCCACCAGATAACATGAGAGTGAGCTATCTTTTGTTTCTTACATTCCGTCTTGTGCATTTACACTACATTTAAACACATTTTTAAATATTTAGAATCTAATATTTTTAGCAATATTTAATTGTAAAATATATTCAATGTGTGATGCACAAGCTGGTTAATTTTTGAACATTTTCATTTAGCTCTTCTGGAAATTTCTTCTAAGGAAAGACTTACCCTCAACATCTTTAAACCAACTGCAATTCGCTGTCTTAGGACTGGGTGACTCGTCCTACTTAAAGTACGTTTGAACTTGTTTTAAGCCAAACATGTGCACATATATTTTTATATTTTCTGATAAATTGAATATTTACAGCTACAAATTCAGGTAAAGGTATAATGTTGTGGTCTGCTTGTATAGGTATAATGTTGTGATTTTACATGTTACGGTGTAGTGTTGTGATTCTACTTGTACAGGTATGATGTTGTGATTCTACTTGTACAGGTATAATGTTGTGATTCTACTTGTACAGGTATAATGTTGTGATTCTACTTGTACAGTTATAATGTTGTGATTCTACTTGTACAGGTATAATGTTGTGATTCTACTTGTACAGGTATAATGTTGTGATTCTACTTGTACTTTACATGTTATTGTGTAGTGTTGTGATTCTACTTGTACAGGTATAATGTTGTGATTCTACTTGTACAGGTATAATGTTGTGATTCTACTTGTACAGGTATAATGTTGTGATTCTACTTGTACAGTTATAATGTTGTGATTCTACTTGTACAGGTATAATGTTGTGATTCTACTTGTACAGGTATAATGTTGTGATTCTACTTGTACAGGTATAATGTTGTGATTCTACTTGTACAGTTATAATGTTGTGATTCTACTTGTACAGGTATAATGTTGTGATTCTACTTGTACAGGTATAATGTTGTGATTCTACTTGTATAGGTATAATGTTTTGATTCTACTTGTACAGGTATAAGTATAATGCGATTCTACTTGTACAGGTATAATGTTGTGATTCTACTTGTACTGGTATAATGTTGTGATTCAACTTGTACTGGTATAATGTTGTGATTCTACTTGTACAGGTATAATGTTGTGATTCTACTTGTACAGGTATAATGTTGTGATTCTACTTGTACAGGTATAATGTTGTTGGCAAACGCTTACAGAAAAGAATTGAACAACTTGGTGGTCACCCCTTTCATTCTCTAGGCTTGGCAGATGATCAGCATGACCTTGGGTAACATTGGCTTGTAACATTGCTATTTCTTTGTTTTTAACAAATACAAAAAACATTTATCTGGCCTCTAACTCTAAGTAAATTGTTTTTTAATTTTTAAATTTATTAAAGCAAACAAAGAACAACAACTATTAGTTGTGATATTAGTCTTAAAATAACCAAGTTTTGGTGAGATAAAGCTGACAATAAGCATGTTGTAGTTAACTGTCAGCTGTAAAGATTTAACGGTAACATTGTTACCCCCCCCCCCCCCCCAGCATAGATGCTGTAGTGACCCCATTAACAACTGATTACCCATTGTTACCCCCAGTGTAGATGCTGTAGTGACCCCATGGTTGAGTTCTCTGTGGGACACTCTGATCAAGATGTTTCCTCTTCCTGCTGGTCTTGATGTCATACCTAGTGATATATGGTCAGTCTTTTTCACTTCATAGAATCTTGTTTGTTTAATTTCTCTTTGAAAATATTATACAATTAATTTTATGATAATGTTTTATTTTATAATTTATTAACAGCAACTCCTGTAATTTTCAGCCCACCACCCAAATACAAAGTGAAGTTTATTGAGTCCAGTGTTGCAGCAAGTAGGGCTACCACAGACAGTACACACATGTCACATACAGAGGAAGGCCACCAATCATCAGATAAAAAAGTTGGACCACTCTGTCCATTTCATGCACGTCTTATATCTAACAGCAGGATTACAGCCCCTGATCACTTTCAAGATGTCCGCCTAATCAAGCTTGATATAAGAGGGTCAAACATTAGGTTTGTATTAGCTCATTTCACTTGTTTCTTGAATTGTTTGAAATGATATTTATAATTCATGCACATAGATCTCTAAAATGGTCAATAGCTGTTTATTTGAGAAGGTTTATCCAAAGACATCAACCTGTTTTTATCAAGTTATTGCCCTTCTATTATAATGATCATAATTTATATTTATCAATTCTTAAAACGTTTGACACAAAGTGTATCCAATAAATGAAAAAAATACTTCTCAAGTTTAAAAGGCTGATCTTTTTAATTGCATGCAATGTTTTTACAATTTGTTGACATGGCTTCACCTATTTTGTTGTACTTTATAATTTTGATAAGAATGTTGTCAACTTTTTAAACTAAAGTCCATCGCCCAGATCAACGACCCCTATCTTATTATTATTACATTGATCTGACCCCTAAAGTATGAGCATAAGATTGATCTGACCCCTAAAGTATGAGCATAAGGTTGTCTGACCCCTAAAGTATGAGTATAAGATTGATCTGACCCCTAAAGTATGAGCAGACAATTGATCTGACCCCTAAAGTATGAGCATAAGATTGATCTGACTCCTAAAGTATGAGCATGAGATTGATCTGACCCCTAAAGTATGAGCATAAGGTTGTCTGATCCCTAAAGTATGAGCAGACAATTGATCTGACCCCTAAAGTATGAGCATAAGGTTGTCTGATCCCTAAAGTATGAGCATAAGATTGATCTGACCCCTAAAGTATGAGCAGACAATTGATCTGACCCCTAAAGTATGAGCATAAGGTTGTCTGACCCCTAAAGTATAAGCATAAGATTGATCTGACCCCTAAAGTATGAGCATGAGATTGATCTGACCCTTAAAGTATGAGCATAAGATTGATCTGACCCCTAAAGTATGAGCATAAGGTTGATCTGACCCTGTGAATGTTTTTTTAGCTATGTTCCTGGTGATGTGATGATGGTTAAACCACAAAACTTGCCCAGTACTGTGGACTCAATGTTGGCAGTTTTAGGACAGGATCCTGATAGAGTTTTTGTTTTACAACAAAATGACCCAGGTAAATCACATGTCTATTTAAACATCCATAAGAAATTGTTAGCATAGTCAGCACATTTTCTGTTTCTGTTATTGGAAAGCTTATTTGGATTCATTTTATCTTCAGAAATAAAATAAAAAAATAAAACAGTTTTAAACTTTTGTCCATTTAAAAGAAAATGTTTTTTTTAGAAAATAATTAAGAAGTCATTATTTTATATAATTGTTGTATGTTAAAAGTAGATATTCCACCCTGATTAAGTTATATAAATTTTATCTGCTCCACCACAGATGTTGCCTTGCCACCATGTTTCCCTGAGCCATGTTCAGTCAAGTGGTTGTTGACGAACTACTTAGATTTTAACTCTGTACCCAGGAGATCTTTCTTTGAGCTGTTGAAATACCACACACAAGATGAACTGGAGAAAGAAAAGCTGGAAGAGTTTTGTTCCCCCCAGGGGCAGGAGGAGCTTTACTCATACTGCAACAGGGTCAAGAGGACAATACTAGAGGTCATCTCTCTAGAAATATGTTGTCAATAAGAGTTTGAGAGATTTTTATTTAATTCCACTCTACTTGTGCAAGTAGTTTTAAATAAATGTTTTTAAATAACATTAATTTTAAAATGCCCTTTTTCTATGATGAATATAACTATAAAAGAACATTTGTTTACTAAGGTTCTCCAAGATTTTTCTAAAACAAGTGCCTCAGTTCCATTTGAATATTTGTTTGACATCATCCCACCACTGCAACCTCGAGCTTTCTCTATAGCATCATCACCCAAGGTAGGTCAACAATTTACACCTGTCATCACCCAAGGTAGGTCAACAATTTACTCCTGTCATCAGAAAAGGTAGGTCAACAATTTACACCTGTCATCACCCAAGGTAGGTCAACAATTTACACCTGTCATCAGCCAAGGTAGGTCAACAATTTACACCTGTTGTCAGCCAAGGTAGGTATACAATTTACACCTGTCATCAGCCAAGGTAGGTCAACAATTTACACCTGTCATCAGCCAAGGTAGGTCAACAATTTACACCTGTCATCAGCCAAGTTAAGCCAATAATTTACACCTGTCATCACCCAAGGTAAGTCAACCATAGCTTGTGTTATACAAGACACCATCTGTAAGGTGTGAGTAGATCCATAGCTTGTGTTATATAAGACACTATGACCAGCAACAAATGACTCTATAACTATTTGGTCAGGCCCACAGAGATGAGCTGCATATCCTGATGGCTGTGGTCAGGTACCAGACTAAGCTGCACCTGCCACGACGTGGTGTATGTTCTACGTGGTTGTCCAGTCTTGACCCAGCTGATGATGTCACGGTGCCCGTATGGGTCAAACCAGGGACAATCAGATTTCCCTCTGATGTTGATGTGCCAGTCATTATGGTTGGACCAGGTGGGTTGTATAGCATTTGTTCTGTAGTCACTAAATGTTGGACTAATTACAATAGTGTACAGTGTCGCTGAAATATTAAGCTTGTTCTAACTTGAAAATATATGTTGAATTCATTGTATGGACATCAACATGGACCCAAACCCCTCTCCCCCTGAAGTTAACACTTATCCACTAAAATCTTTTTTTTGGATAACCTCCTTGTGGATATCATAAATGGATAATCCCTTAGTGTTCAAACTTTAATAGCCGTAAAGAAAAATATTCTGTTATTTTCCTACAACCAGGTACAGGACTTGCCCCCTTTAGAAGTTTGATACATGACAGATGTGGACAAAGTCTAGGCAGTAAGTTCTTTAGTTCATCACATCCCTGTTCAAGCTTTAGATGAGCTGTCTAATTTTGAATTATATTATTTTACCTCTCTGGTATTTTCATTACATTTTTAGCATGTAATTACTCTTTTTTAAATCTATAAAGTCTTTTTGATTTGTAAATTGAAAATTAATTTTTAATTGATTGACAAATAAACATAGATTCTAGCAGCAAACTTCTAGGAATAAAAAATGTTTATAAATCACACACTGCTGTATTTATAAATGTTTGAGAAGATCTATGCATTCAGCTTATGTTAATTATTGTTCAATTTCTTTCAGGTTTGACATTATTTTTTGGCTGTCGCAGTAGATCCAAGGACTTTTACTGTATTGATGAGTTCAAGGACACAAAGATTTTACAAGTGTTTACAGCATTTTCTAGAGACCAGGTAGTCTAGAGATTTCTCTTCATTCTTAATTGTAAGATATGACGTAGCAACATGTTATGTGCCACATGGCTTCTTTAATTTCAACTTTTGTTTCTGGATTACTTTTTAAACCTTTGTCCACATGAGAACAATCTGTTAGGCGCCATTGGTTGTTTTTGTAGTTTTCTCTCCTAGCTGGGTTGAACTATGTTGTACTATTCATTCTGGAACAAATGTTTTACAATTCTGTTGTTAAATTTGTTGTATCTAATGTAACCTTTCAAACAGGGGTGACACCAAGGCAAAAAATAGCAAATTATATAGAGAAAAACTTGAGGGGGGGGGGGGGGGGGGGTGCAAATCGAAAGTTTGAGGGGGGGGATGCAAATCGAAAGTTTGAGGGGGGGTGCAAATCGAAAATTTGCAAGTTTGTCCCCGGGAAGGGTCGCTGCGCCTCTGGGGGGGGGGGGGGTGACACCATTAAGTGCCGCACTGGGTGACACCCGACCTCACTACGCCACTGCTTTCAAATGTCTGTTTTATCATACAGCTAAGTTTGTACTATAAATAAAGTTTTTCTTTCAACAGGCTAACAAAGTTTATGTCATGTGTTATGAAAGTTTTCTTTCAACAGGCTAACAAAGTTTATGTCATGTGTTATGAAAGTTTTCTTTCAACAGGCTAACAAAGTTTATGTCATGTGTTATGAAAGTTTTCTTTCAACAGGCTAACAAAGTTTATGTCATGTGTTATGACAGTTTATCTTTCAACAGGCTAACAAAGTTTATGTCAAGCTTATGAAAGTTTTTCTTTCAACAGGCTAATAAAGTTTATGTCCTGGTTATGACAGTTTATCTTTCAACAGGCTAACAAAGTTTATGTCAAGCTTATGAAAGTTTTTCTTTCAACAGGCTAACAGAGTTTATGTTATGGATTATGAAAGTTTTTCTTTCAACAGGCTAACAAAGTTACTGTTATGGGTTATGACAGTTTATCTTTCAACAGGCTAACAAAGTTTATGTCCTGGTTATGACAGTTTTTCTTTCAACAGGCTAACAGAGTTTATGTTATGGATTATGAAAGTTTTTCTTTCAACAGGCTAACAAAGTTTATGTCCTGGTTATGACAGTTTTTCTTTCAACAGGCTAACAAAGTTTATGTCAAGCTTATGAAAGTTTTTCTTTCAACAGGCTGACAAAGTTTATGTCAAGCTTATGAAAGTTTTTCTTTCAACAGGCTAACAAAGTTACTGTTATGGGTTATGAAAGTTTTTCTTTCAACAGGCTAACAAAGTTTATGTCAAGCTTATGAAAGTTTTTCTTTCAACAGGCTGACAAAGTTTATGTCAAGCTTATGAAAGTTTTTCTTTCAACAGGCTAACAAAGTTTATGTCAAGCTTATGAAAGTTTTTCTTTCAACAGGCTAACAAAGTTTATGTCCTGGTTATGACAGTTTTTCTTTCAACAGGCTAACAAAGTTTATGTCCTGGTTATGACAGTTTTTCTTTCAACAGGCTAACAAAGTTTATGTCAAGCTTATGAAAGTTTTTCTTTCAACAGGCTGACAAAGTTTATGTCAAGCTTATGAAAGTTTTTCTTTCAACAGGCTAACAAAGTTACTGTTATGGGTTATGAAAGTTTTTCTTTCAACAGGCTAACAAAGTTTATGTCAAGCTTATGAAAGTTTTTCTTTCAACAGGCTGACAAAGTTTATGTCAAGCTTATGAAAGTTTTTCTTTCAACAGGCTAACAAAGTTTATGTCAAGCTTATGAAAGTTTTTCTTTCAACAGGCTAACAAAGTTTATGTCTTGGGTTATGAAAGTTTTTCTTTCAACAGGCTAACAAAGTTTATGTCAAGCTTATGAAAGTTTTTCTTTCAACAGGCTAACAAAGTTTATGTCTTGGGTTTTGAAAGTTTTTCTTTCAACAGGCTAACAAAGTTTATGTCTTGGGTTATGAAAGTTTTTCTTTCAACAGGCTAACAAAGTTACTGTTATGGGTTATGAAAGTTTTTCTTTCAACAGGCTAACAAAGTTTATGTCAAGCTTATGAAAGTTTTTCTTTCAACAGGCTAACAAAGTTTATGTCTTGGGTTATGAAAGTTTTTCTTTCAACAGGCTAACAAAGTTTATGTCAAGCTTATGAAAGTTTTTCTTTCAACAGGCTAACAAAGTTTATGTCTTGGGTTATGAAAGTTTTTCTTTCAACAGGCTAACAAAGTTTATGTCTTGGGTTATGAAAGTTTTTCTTTCAACAGGCTAACAAAGTTTATGTCAAGCTTATGAAAGTTTTTCTTTCAACAGGCTAACAAAGTTTATGTCTTGGGTTATGAATGTTTTTCTTTCAACAGGCTAACAAAGTTTATGTTATGGGTTATGACAGTTTTTCTTTCAACAGGCTAACAAAGTTTATGTCAAGCTTATGAAAGTTTTTCTTTCAACAGGCTAACAAAGTTTATGTCTTGGGTTATGAAAGTTTTTCTTTCAACAGGCTAACAAAGTTTATGTCTTGGGTTATGAAAGTTTTTCTTTCAACAGGCTAACAAAGTTTATGTTATGGGTTATGACAGTTTTTCTTTCAACAGGCTAACAAAGTTTATGTCAAGCTTATGAAAGTTTTTCTTTCAACAGGCTAACAAAGTTTATGTCTTGGGTTATGAAAGTTTTTCTTTCAACAGGCTAACAAAGTTTATGTCTTGGGTTATGAAAGTTTTTCTTTCAACAGGCTAACAAAGTTTATGTCAAGCTTATGAAAGTTTTTCTTTCAACAGGCTAACAAAGTTTATGTCAAGCTTATGAAAGTTTTTCTTTCAACAGGCTAACAAAGTTTATGTCTTGGGTTATGACAGTTTTTCTTTCAACAGGCTAACAAAGTTTATGTCTTGGGTTATGAAAGTTTTTCTTTCAACAGGCTAACAAAGTTTATGTCTTGGGTTATGACAGTTTTTCTTTCAACAGGCTAACAAAGTTTATGTCTTGGGTTATGAAAGTTTTTCTTTCAACAGGCTAACAAAGTTTATGTCAAGCTTATGACAGTTTTTCTTTCAACAGGCTAACAAAGTTTATGTCTTGGGTTATGAAAGTTTTTCTTTCAACAGGCTAACAAAGTTTATGTCAAGCTTATGAAAGTTTTTCTTTCAACAGGCTAACAAAGTTTATGTCTTGGGTTATGACAGTTTTTCTTTCAACAGGCTAACAAAGTGTATGCTATGGGTTATGAAAGTTTTTCTTTCAACAGGCTAACAAAGTTTATGCCCAGCATATAATGGCACAACAAGGGGAGATGATCTGGTCCTTGATCAATGACAAGAGAGCAGCATTTTTTATTGCTGGGTGTGTACAATTTTATATGATAAATAAACCTTCTAAAGTTTGATACTTCAAACATATTTCTAATAAGTTCAATAAGGTATTAAGCTATTTACTTTTATTTTAAAAATCAAGGGGAATAACTCTTCAATAGTTTAAAGAAATAATTTGTTTTCTGTTTTTTTTTTTTTAATAAAATAAATACATAACCTTTACAATGAAAAATGTTAAAAAAAACCCACACAAGGCTGTTGTTTACCTAAAAAAAAATCTTGTTGCAGAAATGCTAAATCAATGCCAGATGATGTGAAGGACACACTGTGTGACATCATCAGCCAACATGGGGGGATGAGCAGAGACCAGTCAGTTTTATACCTTCAAGATCTGGAGAGGAAGAAAAGATTTCAGGTGGAGGCCTGGTCATAGTCTTCTTTTAAGTGATGGATTCTTTGTGTGATTGGTTCTTTTTGTGATGGATTCTTTTTGTGGTTGGTTCTTTGTGTCGTTGATACTATAGTAGTCAAGTTTATGTGATGACTGAAAAAAATTTAAGTAGTATCACTTAAAGAGTGTTTTTGTCTTTGTATTACCCACTAAGTCACAGTGACAGATAAAATGAATCCTGAATTGTATGGAAGTGACAATAAAATCACCTTGAATGAAACTAGATGAGAGTGGACAATGGCTATGGAAGCTTGATGTATGGCAGTGGAATTTGAGTTCAAAGTTGATATCTATAGTCTTCCTCTTCCAAACACATGACTTAATGATGGGCGGGGTTTGTATTCACGGGTAATGGTCACAGAGGAAACGGGATATGTATAGGACATCAGTAACCAACAGAATGTGATCTCTAGACTGACAAGAGCTGCTGTTCCTTAGTAAGTCGTCTTCACTAGACATCTGATCACATGATACACCATTCTCATGGCACTGTCGGATTTAATCAAGCTTAATTCAGCAAACAAAAACACCTTATTCATTGTACATATACTGTTTTGGTAAATATTCTTGTCTCTAAAGCTGTGACGTCATTGAACTGATCCTAGACTGCAGCCGTTTTATTTAAAGGTAAGCTGAACGCATTGACTGCCAGTGGACACATCTAGGCCTAGATAAAACAGATAAAGTTATTTCCGTTGCCTAACCTTGAACCTGCACTAGTTACGACATGTCTTATCGTCAAGATCACCTGATTATAAGATTTGTTAGTAAACAAATGAATATGTTTTTGTCATTACAACAACTACAAACTAATTGCCCATTTTACCGTTAGTTCAAATTTGGCATAATAAAAGGGGTCGGCGTGGTCGAGTCGGTAAAGCTCATGGTTGCTAAACCGAAAAGTCTCGAGTTCGAACCCTCGGGCTGATGAGGCTCCGTTAGCTGGAGACAGCCACTCTTCTAGGAGAGACAACTCCAAAATTAAACAACTGCTGCCTTGTAGTTTGTTCTTGGTTGGACAAAGGCTATGGAAGCAAATCCAAAAAGAAAAGCAGGCTGAAATCGGAGTCAATGGCCTCAATGGCGCATAACCAGTTGACACGTAACGCTTAATTGTGTTGGAGGCGTGGTCGAGTCGGCAAAAAAAAAAAGCTCATGGTTGATAAATTCGAACAAATTCTCGATCCCCTGGCAGATAAATCTCGATCCCCTTCAACACTAATAAATTAAGAACGAAGAAGAAGAAGAAAGAAGAAGGCCTAATAAAGAATCTAGCTGTCCCGGCTAATTTAAGAATCTGCTTATAAATACGACTTGTATCCTCATATCTTCAGTGTAGTAAAATATTAATGAAAATCCCAAATAACTGCCTGAGAAAGTTGTTCTTGATCAGACACGTTTACTTCCTGCTAGAGAGGACATTCCAGAGAGAAGCTAACGTGGCTGGGTAATGCTGCAAAAACATGGGAAACACTACAAACAACAGTCAAGTTGCGTCATGGGACAGTAGAAATGGGCAACCCACGTGACGACACAGCTATTTGAAATATACAAAGACGATACAATTGTGGCAGAAAAAAAGGTTATGTCACCTGTCACGGGGGTGAACGTGGTGTATGACCAAAACCACAAAAGAAAACGACCAAATAGCAGACCATTGCTCAGATGGATTGATGACCAGTGTTTCTTCTAGACTTTTTTCTCCGGGGGGGGGGGGGGGGACGACTTGATATTACTGGGGAGGGGGGGGGGCGGACAACATTTTCCGGGGGGGGGGAGGGGGCGGACACTGGTAAAATTATATGATTTCTATATAAAATCCATTTCGTTCCCGGGGTTGGGTACTGTAAGGATACGGGGTTAGATGGACGGAGACATAATGTAAACAGCGGATGTAGATATCCTTAAGAGGACTAACAATGCATTGTGAAAGAAAAGCACCTCTTTGCTGAGTGCTAAACTAGATGTGAAGGAGGCGAGCAAGTAAAATATTAGGTGTTAACACAACGTAAGATTGGCCGTCGTTAAAATATTGGGTGTTAACACAACGTAAGACTGGCCGTCGTTAAAATATTAGGTGTTAACACAACGTAAGATTGGCCGTCGTTAAAATATTAGGTGTTAACACAACGTAAGATTGGCCGTCGTTAAAATATTAGGTGTTAACACAACGTAAGATTGGCCGTCGTTAAAATATTAGGTGTTAACACAACGTAAGATTGGCCGTCGTTAATGACATTACGAAGTTTGTAGCTTTCACTCCTGAGATCTCTCACATGTTTTATGGACCGATGCTTTTATTGAAGAAAGCGAATTTGTTTTATTTTCCTTCATCTCAGCCTATTTAAAAGCGTATTGTTATAAAGGTTTTTCCCGCTCCCATTTATGCGCACGTCATTAGCTACTGGTATCAAAATATTAGTAGTTTTGTATCAATGTATCTAGGCTGGTATCAAAATATCATAAGTCATGTATCAAAATATAAGTAGTTTGGTATCAAATATCAGTTGTTTGGTATCAAAATATCACAAGTCAGGTATCAAAATATCAGTTGTTTGGTATCAAATATCAGTTGTTTGGTATCAAAATATCAGTTCAAGTTGTTTGGTATCAAAATATCAGTTGTTTGGTATCAAAATATCACAAGTCAGGTATCAAAATATCAGTTGTTTGGTATCAAATATCAGTTGTTTGGTATCAAAATATCAGTTGTTTTGTATCAAATATCAGTTGTTTGGTATCAAAATATCAGTTGTTTGGTATCAAAATATCAGTTGTTTGGTATCAAAATATCAGTTGTTTGATATCAACATATCATTAGTTTGAAAGAATTGAAAGCCAACAGGTTAAATGGGACTCGAGTGCTGCCTATGGCAAGATGAACATTGAGCGATCACAGGTGTTTATTTTCTGACTACTGGCCGTTTAGCTCTTAATTCATTTTAATTATTAAAATGACATTACTAAGATTTCTTTTACTAATAAGTTTAATTGTTTATTTTTTTTTTAAAAGTTTAAAAAATAATAAGCACAACTTCACGTGATTAAAGTGTGGCTAACAAAGCTTGGCCTAAAAAACACGATACATAGCAAACATTCCCATAGAGCACATTTAAAAGGTTTATTCTTAGAAAAGACCTGTTGATAAGGTCTTGTTCATCCTGTTTGTTTACAATTTTTTTTAAAAGATTAAAGACGATTCTTAAATTAGAGCGATAGTTAAGGATTATACCATGCAGAGTTTCTTCCAGGCATCTCTTTGGGGGGGGGGGGGGGGGGGGGCACCGCCCCGAAGAAAGTCTACCACCCCCTCGAACGAAATGGAATTTATATAGAAAATATATACTTTTGACAGTGTCCGCCCCCCCCCCCCCTCCCCCCCCCCCCCGAAAATTTCAAGTGCACCCCCGGAGAAAAAAGTCTGGAAGAAACACTGAGGTAGACGCGAGGAAAAAAAGCGAAACGATAAACCGGTGGGTGAGCAAGAATGAGATTTATGCTATGACTTGAGTGCTACTAGCTCAATCAAATGATTATAATTAGCAGGGATGGCATGTTTTGAAACAACGTCGCGCATCTAGTGAGAGAGGAACGGGTTAACTGACATGTGCCTACGTGGCATGTTAGATATGATATGTTCTGGCCAGCGTTTCTTCCAGACTTTTTTCTCCGGGGGGGGGGGGGGGGGGCACTTGAAATTTTCGGGGGGGGGTGGGGGGTGGGGGGGGACGGTAAACTTTCTTCGGGGGGGGGGGCGGACACTGTTAAAAGTATATATTTTCTATATAAATTATATAAATTTCATTTCGTTCGGGGGGGGGGGGGGGCGGTAAAAAATGTTCGGGGGCAACCCCCCCCCCCCCCCCCCCCCGAAGAGATGCCTGGTAGAAACTCTGGTTCTGGCTCAAAATGTCAAATAAAATACTCATTGTAAAGAAAGAAAAAAAACAACATGAAAATATTTATAATAATTTTTTTTTTATATATAAAAGTAAAAGCATTGCACAATGAAATGTAAGGAAATGATTTTTGCTTTTATCAACTGTTGCTTTATTATAGTAAAGGTTTTATACATGTAATTTTGTTTTTGCTTTTTTGTTGTTTCTGGATATTGTAGCAATATGATATTAAGTACCTAATGAAGTTGACACGATTCAAAATTATCAGTGTTTCTTCCAGACTTTTTTCTCCGGGGGGGGGGGGGGGCGCTTGAAATTTCCGGGGGGGGGGGGCGGTAGACTTTCTTCGGGGGGGGGGGCGGACACTGTTAAAAGTATATATTTTCTATATAAATTATATAAATTGCATTTCGTTCGGGGGGGGGGGGGGGGCAAAGCGGAAGAAACTCTGAAAATTATATTGATAGATTGGATCACAAATTCACTCACCGACATACGGACAGTGTGACTTATGAAAAAACTGTAAACACAAAATTCTGTAAGATTTTTATTTGTTGGTTGGTTAGGGCAGGCTAGATGGCTTGACGCCTTGACCAAAGTTTGAGAATCTTTCAAACATAGCCTAATGATACCTCCATACTTCCTGGTTTTTATTCTAAAATTCTAAAATAAAAAGGGCTATGGGTCTATGCAGTAGGCTGCACGAAGATCATATGAATCCAGTCCCAGCTTTAACATGTTGCATTGCAGTAAGTTGAACGTTTTTTTTCTGGGGTTCAATTACATGTTGAGGTGCAGGGTTTACGTGTATGTCAGTGATGTAAAGAGGGTGACTGAAGTTTGGTCTACACAATAAACGTGGCAGTAGCTAGAGTTTAGGTTAGAGCAAACAGGCGAATCAAATATAAATAAACAAAAATACATCTCATTTTTTAAACGTGTTTTTCTATTAGTCTTGACGTTTGCGGTATGCCTGTTCGGACTTCGAAGAGGTAAGATGTCTACTTGTTTTGTTATAGAGGTAAATTGTAGTGGCGTCACTATGTGGAGTGGTGGAGTGGTGGAGTGGCACCTGGTGCTGTAGCTCAGGAAGTCACCCCCAACTAACACGACTATATATATATATATATATATATATATATATATATATATATATATATATATATATATATATATATATATATATTAATACAAGAGAATCTAGTGTCGTCCCCGATGCGGTCAGCACCTCGGTATTTTGACGCCACTGATGTGTTGTATGCTTGCAAATTTTGAATTTATTTTTCAAACACGAAGTGGAATAGTAAAAGCTACATTAAAAAATGTTTTGGCTCCTCCACTCAGCACGTCCACCGCCCCTCCCCCGGACAAATATTTAAAAACAAACAAGTTTAATAGAAAATAAAATACTTAAAAAAAACTTTTTAAAAAACCACGTTTTTCTTGTGGACTAAAAAGTAGAAAATAACTATTTACATACATTTGATGACAAAAAACGTGGGTACGTTCACCATCAAATTTCCCGACCCATCTGCCCGACCCACGTTTTTTGTCATCAAATGTATGTAAATAGTTATT